TACACAGGCCGTTAACGATGGAGACCAGAGACATTCCGTACGCTTCGTTCTAGCCATTTTCCAAATATCCAGCTGGCTAGATGAGTCGTCCCAGGAAACCTGCCACCACCCTCCGCCCTACCCAACCTTTTGCTCGCCCTTTTCTCTTTTCTATGGTCCTTTTCCTAGTTGTCGCGCCACTGGTCCGGCTCGCCCGCCAGCGCAGACGTTCCCGGAATCGTTAATTCCTCTCAATATTGCAGGATCCTTTTCGAACGCGACGTCAAGTCACTCGGCCGTTCTAGATGTCCACGGAATTTACGGTCCACTGTGTTTCCGGACAATATTCCCGTTAATCGCGGTCCAACCGATGGACTCACTTCGTCTGTCACTATTTGGTGTAATTCTACTTACGAGACGAAGTCTAGCTTGCTCAACATTTCTTCTTAGCCATTGCTTTTTCATATTCTGTTCAAATAAGTCGAGAGCAACAGAGAGTGCCAAAGAGGAATGTCTAATTTATTTAACACTGAATTCAAGTTTAACTAATGAGGACGGAGCGTCGCGTCGTCTCCTTTACTTATCCGATTTAAGATCGTCGATGGAACTGCTCGGAATTCTCGGGACGTGTCGAAACTACGAAATGCGCTAACGATATAGAGGTATAATCGGTAAAAGTGGACGACGGTGGAAGAGGCAGGCGTGTCTTTTAGAAGGTTCGTCAACGTTCAAAGAGGCGCACGCGTAGTTTCCCTAATTCCGAATTATTCGTCGAATTCCCAGGGACAGCGTGTGTGCGGCGGTGAGTGGTGGAAAACGGGGACTGGGAACAGGGACTTTTCGGAGTAATTTGTATTCCACATTTCACGTGGAACTGTGAGGGGTGACGAGAGAGCACCTACTCCTTCTCCTCATATCTTTGTCTCCTCTGTTGCCTCTCTCTCTTGCTCTTCCTCGGCGTATTCACGCGCGCCGATGTTCTCGACGAGAGACTTACAGTCGCGCGTATATAAACGGCGCGGCGACCAGGGAGAGTAACAACGTCTGATTATGCGAACGCATGGCTGGTCGTAACGCGATTTAATATTAAAATATTATGACAAACGTCAACAGGAGGCGGGTGTAAAGAGACGCGTCTCTGATTGGCCCTCGACGTGAATACGAAACGAGAAACGGGGACACCTTGCCAACCCTTGTTTTGTACCCCAGCCGGTGTTCTATTTCCTCCGCTGTCGAAACAGGTCTTACACGTTCCAATAAATTGCTTAAACGGTTTAATCAGAATTTGTATTTTGATATGGGAATTTACTAGGAATAGCAAACCAGTAACTCTGTACATAAAATTAAATGAATTGTTTTTTATGCGATTATATTTGATCTTGCGTTTAGAAAGGTTTTCTTCATTTTCAAGCATGTGTGACTATAGGATTAAGATCATCTGGAAAACTTGTTTCGCAAAACGTAATCGATTAAAACGTCGTGATTGTACAAAGGCGGAATTCTGGTTGTATTCATTGCGCAGGTATTACGACGTTAAAAATCAATCAAACATCGAGTTAGGCACAGAACGGCGGACACAGGGATCCGTGCAGGAATTTTAATCAATACATACATAATAGAGCGTGTTCCCGCCATGGTATGGCATATCGCGGCTATGAAAATATCACGGTTAACAGATCCGAAAGGGATGTTCAATATGGAATGCGAGGAAAAGCTAGAAGGTAAATCCGATTCGGATTTGTGGAATAAACGGATCGACGGTGCAAATCGCCGAATTTTTTTCCCGTGGACAGCTCTCGTCTCCCTTCCTCTTCCCCCTTTTTTTGCTTCCGTTTTATGTAGTCCTTTTTTATCCCGTTGCAAGTGTCCCGGTTAACGTCCGAGGATGCTCTCTGTGCGTGCAGTTTAGTTGGCGCGTATAAAACGACGCTAAATAAACATGCGGAGTAACGTAACGAATCGAACATTCACGGTACCCTATCGATTTCCATTCGACTGTCTACAAATTGATCGAATTCCGTTGTCCTTTATACGAAACATCCCAATTTCCCTTTCTTCGATCATTCCGATGCGCGAAAAAATTATTTTTTGATTACAAACGTAATTTCTCGACGGTTCTTTTTATACAAATACTCCCGAGACTTCATTTCATAGATATTCCCAATTTTACTCTCAGCCCTTTGCCGCCGCAAACCCTCAAGAGCGATCGCGAATTAAATTATTTTTCCTTCATTAAACAGCCTCGAACGTTTTCGCAGTCATAAGTAATTCAAATCTTTAATTAGGAAACTTTGTACGAAGGGCTAAAAAATTTTCATACTTTGCACCTTCTAACCGAGAAATTGCGCAAATATCAGGAAGTTTTTACTGCGAACCGGGAATCTGAGCAGCCACGGATAGTTTCGATACTTTTGAAAGGCAGATGAAGCGGAAGACGGTGCTGAAGGATCGAGGGGTCCTCCGGCGTGGGGCGGCGTGGGGAAATCGAAAGTATAAAGATGGGAACCGGGAGAACTCATATACACAAACGGGGGCGCACAGTAGTTTGCTGCGGGGTTCTGTCAAGGCGAGGCACGAGATGGGCGGGAGGTCAGGGAAGTTGGAATAAATCCAAACAGTAAACAGAGAGAAAAATGAGCGAGAAGGACGACGGATGGGTCGGAGAAGCGCGACGAGACTCGCGGGGGAGGATGGTTGGTGAAAATTCTAATATATAAAAGATATGAAGGTCTGGTGCGACGAGACGACCACGGCGTGGCAGGAGGCTGAAGGCGCGGGGGCTAAAGTCGAAGGAGCCTTCGGGATTCAAATAAGTGGCGTTACCGTCCGGGTCAGGGAGGCGAGGAAAGGGGTCGAAGGAATCTGAACAGCCAACAACAAGCGTGCGGCTCCCCGACCTTTATTTAACCTTTTCTTAAAAGAGTCTTAGGAGTCCCTCTTATCTGTAGTCGATGGCCCTTCAACGTCGACTCTTATACTTTCATTCTTTCCATACCCTTATATTTTTTTCCTTTGGTCCCGGTCGTGTACACACGTCGAGCTTCATCGTCGTTACCCTTCGCCCTCGCCGCCGCCCGTCCACCCGCCCCCCCTTTGGCCCCCTTTCTTTTTCGTGGCCTGAAACCACCCTCGACGTTACCTCCGCGATTTTTCCACCCCTTTCGCTTCCGTGGTGACACGACGGTGTCGGACGTTCAAGATTCTTCGTTTCTTCGTTAGGAACGGTGGCAGCGACGTGGGCAGAACAGAGCGGAAAGGGACAGACGAACGGTGTGCGGACTCGGTATTAATTAGCGAATTAAAGGATCGCGATCTAACCGGGCGGTGCGTCTCCGGCTAAAGTGGATTAAAACCTCCTGCCGATCGTTGCTTTTCATTAATTTCGTTGAGTAAACGGCCCTGTCGCTCGCGCTCCTCGAATCCTTTCTTATTGTTTTTTTCAAGGCGACCAGCTAGCTCCTCGGGGACGTTTCGAAAAATTCTCGCTCGCGATATTCCATCTCTACCGAGTAACGAGGACTCGTAGCAAGTGGAACAAGTAGAACACAGGGCAGACGGAATTCTTCCTAAGACGAACGCCGCACCGCACCTCACCACAGCATAGAATTTTCCAACCGACCATTTCTCCTCTGTTTTTCCACGACGCGTTTTTCCTTTCGCTTTCGAACTTCGGAGACGAAACGCCGCCGCTCCTGACTAAACACTGATAACGCCCAGCCTCACCGTTTTGGGGACTTTCTTTGCATGTTATAAACATACGTAATCGTACACAAATAAGATTAGCATAGGAGTCGCGGCAACGGATTCGAGCAAGGGGACACACGCTTTTCACGTTCTAGGAAACAATCGCGAAGCCGACCTTCTGTGTTGGGAACGACGGGAGGAACGTGAAAGAGCCGGTCGCGGAGGAATCCGTTTTAAATTTATCTCTGACGGTTCTCTGTCTTCTTCGTTCCCGTTCACGCGCGCGCGTGTGGTCCAGCTTAGATTGCGACGTGCCTTCCAGCGATTCATTGCGCCTGTTCGTAATCCCCGTCGCGTAGGATCCTCATCGCGGAAGTACGGCTTAGAAAAAGCACTTTAGCTCTCGATACGTTAGCTCGCTTCGCGGAATCGAAATTTAGAAACGAATCGAAGTTTCGCAAAGATCGCTTCCGCAAGCATAATTAAGCGAAAAAGAAAAGAACAAGCTGCATCATTCTTGAACGAGGAATGTAGTATTCTACGCGTTTGATTTGATAAAATCCTCGATGGTTTTTGGGGTGGAATTAATTTGTACTCTCCGTATACGAGATACCGCGGATGAAGAGAATCTCGAGCAAAGCGGAAGGGGTGGAACCAACCAGTAACACAATGTTCCGCCTTTACGCTCCGCAATTTACTTGATGATAGAACTTAATAAAACAAATCCCGCTACGTAAACAACGGAGGAAGAGACTCGAGTCGACGTGATTCAAACAACAGCGGGCGAGTTTTCCTCTCGGTGTACCCAAAGCCAGCCGACGCCGATGACGACGTCGGTGGATACCGAGACGTCTCGGGCTCGAATACCATTAGATAAGATCAATATTGTTCAAAACACGCTGGAAAGTTTAACGCGCGCACATTACACGGCATTTATATCATGAATATTCCGCTCCGGGGCTTCTTCTTCTTCCCTCTTTTCGTTCTCGCCCAGCTTCCATCGTCTCCGCGCCGGCAACCCCTTCTTGTTATCTCGCATTTGACTTTGTACAAGCACCAGAGAGGCGAGGCGTCGCCAAAACAGAAACTCCTTTATCTCTGATTAACATCGATACGAACAATAATTAATTCTTATCAAACTTTTTTCGCCCCGAGAAGAAAATAATTGGTATTTGCAGCCCCGAAGCAATGGCAAAACCAGATACTCTTTTTATCCTTTGTTAAAGTCAATGTAAATAATGATTATTTCTAACCAAATGGTCTTCTGAGAAAGAAACGTCAGAGGCAGCTCGCAACCGACTTTGATCGAGCTCTCGATCTCCATTTTCGTATTGCAGGCTACTTCGCTGTTTGCAGCCCTGAAGCAGCAGCAACAGCAATCGCGCGACAGTATTACCTCGTCGAGGGAGCGTGAAAATCGGGATCGGGATCGGTTGTCGGTCCGTAACCGCGAAAACAGCCGGAACAGTGAGATAGGCGGCGGGGTGGTGTCCGAGCAGTCACAACAATCGCAACAACAACAGCAGCAACAGCAGCTACAACAGGAGCTCACGATCGAGTATCAGAGCAATGGAAAGCTCAGTCCCGCTGGGCACGCAGTGACAGCAGCACCCATGACCCAGCAAAAGCAACCGATCATCACGCAGCAATCGCAACAGCCGAGTTCGGGGGCGCCTGGTCCCCAGCCTAGTCCCCATCAGAGCCCGCAAGCCCCTCAGAGGGGTTCGCCACCGAATCCTTCGCAGGGTCCTCCGCCAGGAGGGCCACCAGGTGCACCACCCTCGCAGAATCCCTCGCAGATGATGCTCAGCCCGGCCAGCGGCATCCATCAGATGCAACAGCTGCTGCAGCAACACATACTCAGTCCCACCCAGCTGCAGTCGTTCATGCAGCAACATTCGCTGTATCTGCAGCAACAGCAGCAGCAGCAGCATCATCAGGTAGATACTTCACCTCACAGTGCTTATAGCAGATTAAATGTTCTAATAAGTAGATGTCTTCTATTAAAAATTTTAATATCTATCTTATATATCAAACCGAGATCATTTAATAATGGTATGCTGGTGTAATTCATTCGTTTATTAAAATCACAGAAAAATTAAAGTACTCTGCAACCGTAATAAGTGGCTCGTGTCGTTGAACCATTCGACTAATATAGGATTGATTCTATTTTTGCAGGACTCTTCGTCGGAGCATGCATCGAATCAAGAACGATTCGGTTACTTCTCATCTCTAAAAGATGTGAGTATTCCATTCTTCGATTCTTTATTGTTAGAACGTTACATCGAAGGAATCTCAGGTTTCGTTGTTCATTTCCGACGGAGTTTTTATTGTACTCCTCCAGAGTACATTAGCGAAGTTTGTCCTTTTTATCGAGCAAGCATTGCATTCTGGCATAGTTAAACATCTTTCAGATACTCTGCCGGGTAAACAGACCGCCTTTTATCACCCTCCGGCGGCCATTGATAATTTTAATTATAAAAAGCGTCCGTTTGATGGAGGACACTCTTCCCATTTCCCTTCCCTATACCTTTGGCGAACTTGTACAAACATTTCGGCAACCTTTCCATGATAACACTGAAAGAATGTCCTCTCGTTCTTATATTCTCGGATAGTTACATTCTTTGGAAATATTCAATCTATCTTGATGTTTCCTGAAATTAATTCTATTCTAACGATTATAATTTTAAATATCTTACACGCTCTTCATAAACTGCACAAAGGACGTTTTAACGCAAATACGTATCGTTGGTTCGCACACAGCCGCGATAGCTTCGATGGAGGCATCAAATATTTATTTAACGGCATGGCCTGACCGGTATCCTTCACTCTACAAATTTAGACAGTCCACTCGAACAGATTATTGCGAGAGTTAGCGCGGAAGACGATCTCAATTACCGGGAATTTAATCTTCATCGATCGTTGTCATCATTCGGAATCTAATACGCGAGAAGAGATGAACTTTTTTGTATATTGAACTTTGTTCTGTTTGCCGTGATATAAGGATGCCTACTTCGAAGGGTTTATTTTAAAATATCCTCCAGGCTTAGGGAGAACGAACACAGAGTGGGGGCTGAGGTTAGCAATTAAGCAACGCCATCAGCCGTTGTGTCTCGTTGTTTGTCTTCTGGCTACCCATCAACTGCCCCCTGTTTTCTTCCTTCTACCTCTCCCCGGCGAGTTACCCGCGTCTCTCCGATTTATTCAACAGCTCTAAGATGCAACTTTTCCACCCTCTCGTTTTTCTCTTGTTCCTCGACGCGCAATTCCTTTCATCGGAAAAATAATTTCCGAATTTACTCCCGGCAGGAAATTTATGATTAATCGTCAATACACTTTACAGCATCAACATCAGTTTGCGGAGCTAGGTAGAAAGAAGTTGGAACAGGCGATACAGCAATTGCAGGAACAATTGCAGTTGAATGTCATCCAGCAGACGCATCTGCTGCAAACAGCAGACAAGAAGAAGGCATCCGCACCCCTTCAGCAATTGGCTCTACAACAGCAACGTTTAATCCAGCAGCTACAGATTACGCAAAGCCAGTATCTGCTTCAACAGGGTTTGAGTCTTCAGAGTCACAATCCCTCTTCAGGTACGCCAACGATTATCCTTCATTTTATTTCGTCCGTTTTATAATAGTCTCCTTATGCTAATAAACTGATGCATATGAAATGTTTTCTTCTCGCATGTACACGTACACATACATCGTTCACTGATTTCATTATTATACGCTTGCAAGAACTGACAGAAATAATAATGTTCCCAAAAAATGATGTTGATTCGTCTAAATGGAAATTACATTTCATATGTATCAACTTCATATTATAACACATAATTTTAGAGGTAAGTTGATATTAAAGGCGGCTCCCTGATTTAAACAACAATTCACTGTGTGCGTCCCAATTCTCGTCAAGTAATCCACTCCGGCGCTTTCTCATTTTCCACTTCACCCTGGGCAAAACTTTCCTCGCAAAAGTGTTTCAGTTGCGCCGAGTCTCATTCCGGCGATGTTTTTCTTTCTGACCCGCGTGTACGAAGCAACGAGGAAGGGTGGAATAATAGAGTCAGGGTGTGGAAAGCAACAGAGCTCGTTTATGCGTACTCCTCGTGATACAAACCTGTATACGCTTGATGAAGATGTTTATTGAAAGGAATTATAATAAATTGGGATTCTTTACTCTCCCAAAACCCTGTTATATCTTGGAATACAGCATCCCTTTACGCAAACTGTAACATTTTATACAGGTCTCCAACCTGGCGAAGGTTTACCAATGTGGAAAACGGACACGCCGGACGGTTCAGAATCTCACCAGAACTCGAACGTTCCAAAGTCTGGGGCTGGACACAATGGTAAACAGAAATTCTCATAATATTCGAGTTCTTTTCTTCATGATCTCGCTGCTCAATGTTCCTTCCCCGTTTTGTCCCCCCTCGGTTTTATGCCGGAAAATGCGACGTTCCTTTCCGAACTATCGCAGGACTTCTCAATTCGACAGTGTCGAGTCGGCGGTCGGAGATGAACGGAACCACTCCACTGGACGAGAAACCGCTGGACGTTTCCTCCAACGACAAGGTTCATCCCCTGTACGGTCATGGGGTCTGCAAGTGGCCGGGCTGTGAAGTTATTTGTGAAGACTATCAAGCATTCCTTAAGTGAGTCCTTTACTTTTCTTCAAACTTCATTTATCTTGTGCCAATTCGGATATATAGTATATGGTTCAAGCACAGTATAAGAAAGAACAGATTCACGCACTCCAAAAGTGTACAACATAGCGGCTTAAGGATGTATTGGCTATACAATCAATCCCAAAAGTTTATGCACTTTAGAAACGCATTTTTTAAAAAGAACTCAGACGTCGGAAGACCATTGCTAATAATAAACAACAAAAAAAAATTTTCGATTTTTCCGAGATTTTTCCAAGGGGTATACATCCTTACATTCTTAATTGAATCAATACATCCTTAATTGAATGTCCGTGACTCTATCCCTATATTTAACAATTAAATTTTTTTCTTATACTATGTTTCAGTATTCTTATATGTAAGTTTCAAGATTGAAAGATAGTAAAATGTTCGTAATTATCATGAATATAGTATATGTTTATGTGTAATACAAACAGAAGAAAGATTTCAAATCAATTATCTTTCATCTTCTTTATTCAATAAATACGAGAAATGAAAAACTTTTTAATCCGACGTTAACCGATCTTGAGCTGTTTGGGGTCTCCGGTGAGCTTACGGAAAGTAGGTAAATCCCAGCACACGATAGACGGGGTGAAGTAAAGAGAGTTGGGTGGAAGAAAATCGGGAAGAATAAAGTCGACAATTTCGACCGTGGCAGAATGAGTTAGGAGATAACGGCGTTTGTTGGGCTGGAGTGGGAGGTTGAGCAGGAAGTGTAGAAAAATCGCTCGAGTCAGCGTATCTCATTGACATCCGGCACCTTCTCCATCGGTTTCAAAGCAGTGGCGGCAGCCCCTCGGTTGTCGGCAATCCCTAGTAATCACGTGGCTCGTCGTCGCAAACTCCCTCAAACAAGCCGTTACCTACTAAAAAAGGACGAAGAAAAAAAAGGAAAACGCTAATTACCTTTGTCTCATTAATATTCACGACATTCGACCGCATCGTTATGCCCCTCGGTCTAATCCCCTTCCCTCGATGTTCCTACCCCCAGGTGGACTTTGCCGTGTTCGTTCCTTAGTCTTAACCAACCGCCCCCGTCCCCGTTTTCTTCACCCTCGCTCACCCTTCACGATACAGGGCCGGCGACGAAGAAGGATTACGGAAATTCTTAAATACGGAATCTCGTTGGCACCACCCTCGTTTCTCCTCTAACCGTCGCGAAACTCGATTCTTTTTCCCGCGTCCCATGGGGGAGAGGACGAGGAGTAAGATTCGCCACGGTCGGGAGACAAACGTTTCTTTGTGGCACGGTGCAGCTTTTGATTTACCCGTAAACGATCCGTCGTTGTTCGTGACGCGACGTATAATTTCGTTAGTGTTTAGCGGTAAGGAGAGACCGGGTGAAGAGGGGCAAAGGCGGTATAAGTTTTAAACGATGTCATAGGCACTTGAACACGGAGCATACGCTGGACGACCGATCGACGGCCCAAGCCAGAGTTCAAATGCAAGTGGTCTCGCAGTTGGAGATTCAGTTGCAGAAGGAACGGGACCGGTTAACCGCTATGATGCACCATCTGCACGTGGCGAAACAAATGGCTTCCCCGGAACCACCAAAGTCGTCCGAGTCATCGGTGAGTGTTCGCGTTACCAGCTGATTATCGTATATGGTCAGACAATGTTCACGATACTATAACGGAAGCTCTAGTAGTTCCAAAGTTGTTTAAATTAGCTATTTGTCTGAATATATACAGTTCTATAATACAAAACGTACACGTCAAAAGAGAGTGTAAAAATTCAAAAATTTAGGTTTAGGATTTTTCTGTATTCCAATCATTTTTCAAATTCTGCACTGAAGTAGCTATTATAGCTCGAGGAATATGTCAGTGCGAAATGTAGTGATCGCACGTTATATGGTCAGAAGTAATCGCACGGTAGCCGGTTATACGTTCTGGTCATCGCGTAAACGTTAAATCGGGCCGAAATTCGGAAAGACGTTTCCCAGGGATCGCGTCGCGATGGACAAACTCTTTTAATACGACCGACGGACAGTCCAGCAGTCGTAAAACCAGATTTTCAGAGCGGCGACGAATTTTACGATCGCTCGCCGCGGCTAACAACAACGCCAGTTTCAGTTTTAACGCGCCAGCGAGTAGACTCGCTAATTTATACATAAAGTTTGCATTAATAATTCATCGGGTCCTCGTTGATTTTATATCGCCTTAATTAAAACCTCTAACAAGTCCGACAGTCGGAGAATACCAATATCGCATTAGCCCTCTCCGCGCAGCTGCGTGGCCCGTCCTCTCTGACCGACTTAATTATTTTAACGCGAAAGGGAGAAGAGTCTCACCCCACCTACTTCCTGCCCGGATCATCTCTGATATCGAGACACCATTTCACTTTATATTTCGTACCAACACGCGACGCAACTCGCTCATTAATAAAAGAAACTATTATAACTTCTCGCAATTGATCATAAAATACAGTAACACTGGATAGAGCGGAATATTATGATTTTAAAAGATGAATATAATGGATGACTTCTTATGATGCAATTAAAAATATATGTCCATTATTTGATATCTAATAACTCTGTATTTCATAGAAAAATGAATTCAGCTTCAGTTACATGAAAACTACTAATCTATTCTCTGAATAATGGTTGCTAGCGTCTTTTGTAAAATTGAGCATGCCACGACGCCGCGTTCTTTTCAGACGGGCTCGAGTATACCAAAGCTAAATCTATCCACCGCGCTGATGAGCCAACCACCACCGAACTTCGGCGTCTCCCAAGTGTCTCCGGTCTCGATGTCCGCACTGGTCTCGGCCGTCAGGTCGCCGGCAGGTGGACAATTGCCACCTTCGGCCGGCGGCGCGCCCATGCCACCCATTCCCAACATGCCGAACATGTCCGGAATGCCGCCGCTGCCTAACATGCCGGGCAGTATGCCCACGATGCCTACCATGCCCAGTATGGCCGGACCCATCAGGCGACGTATCAGTGATAAATCGGCGCTCTCCTTGGCAGGAGGTAAGATCTACCACATTTCATCTAATCTTTTTATTTTATCTGGTTTATTACTTTATCACATTTTACGATTCTGACTACAATCGCCGCGGATAAGGAATTAACTGATCAATCAAAATATCGTGTTCGACATTGTTGAAATTGTGTGTTCTTCCGTTTTACCTGAGTTCAGAGGGAAAATGGTTAAAGACGAGTAATCGACATCAAAAACATATCTGACGATAGATTTAATTATAATTCACTGATACATTTTGCAAGAAAAAAAAAATTGGATTTAAATATCATGCCCAGAAAGGTGAAACGAAAGACATGTGAATTTAGAGATTGAATACTATTCGTAGGACTGTATGACGAGGGCACTGTAAGGCGCAGAGTAGCCATCGATAGATCTGGAATAGATATTAACGAAGGTAACGATTTAACAAAAATTCTGTCGGGAAGACGCGTGATCCGTGAAATGCTATTTTAAACAAACATCATTCTCGTTACTTAATTTAGAAAAGACGATTTTATATGGTAAACATAATTTCACTGAATATAAAAGTGAATTTATGCCTGAATTATAAAGGTCTGCGTTTGAGGAAGCGTTTCCCGGCTCGCGCTCGTCAAATACAACCCCGACAAAAAGAAAATCCTGTAGCAAATGCTCTTTACGGTCCTCTCTTGATCTCGTGCCTTTTTTTCCTATCGTAAACTCTACCACACGCACAGATTTATTCACGGTAGCAACAATGTCACATGAGCTACAGTGTTCGACACCTTGTTGGCGACACAGGACGAATGAGAATAGGTATTATTGTAGACAATGAAAGGTGTAACGAAATTAAATACAAGCATAAAAAGGAATACAAAGATAAACGAGACAAACGACAGAAAATATGAATTAAAAATAAGTAAAAAGAAAAGGAACAATGAATTTTCTAAACGTACGCCAGTTCGAACCTCTTTCTTACCGATGCTTCTGTTGTTTCCTTATTTCTTGTGCTGCCCGCCGTCCCCACCGTGTAGGGCTGCCCTACATGCTGGAGCGTGCTGGCCTTGACGTCCAACAAGGTACTGTCAACCTTCTTTCCACATTCCTTTGGTGGCTTTAAGGATTTTTTTTTAAGGGTGCACCCTTGCATGCAGGAAACTTCCGTCTTCCTCGCCGTTCCTTTGTCCTGTAGAATAGTAATTTGGATACTTCATTCGTCAAAGAGTGTCAGCTTCTATTTATTACGAGATATATCTAAATCTAAACGCTTATCGCTTATTATTTGAACTATACAGTTTTCAGAACATCGTATTTTTCATTCAGCATTTGTCGTTTGAGCATGCAACCATCGACGGAGAGATTGCTCCTACTCCTTGCAAAATACCAAGAAAATATTTATCATTAAACTTAAAAAAAAATTAATGACCTTAAGTTCTCCCGCGAGTTACTTTCAAATATCAAACATATTCAGATATGAAGCAGTTTTACGTAATTTTTTGCTTTCACAAGACAGCCTTCTCTCGAAACGGGGCTTACACTTTTTAGTATACGTTGCTTGTTAGTTATAAACACCAGCCACCTTGAAACACATAGGGGGAAATGGTGCTGATTAACTTTACCTATCGACGGTGTAAGAATAAATCCTTTCCAAACCCTTTTCATATTCTCTCTGGGAAAGAAGAACAAACGAAGCTTCTTGGTATTTCAGAAATTCAACGAAATAGGGAATTTTACAAGAACGCCGACGTCAGACCGCCGTTCACGTATGCATCATTAATAAGACAGGTGAGTGATCCATTCGATACGTTAGACGTATCCCTTTAGCGTGCTGAATAATTGAGGGCAACGTATGAGTTGTCCAATAAGTGTGTCCCTTTCAGTCGATTTAAACGTTCCAAGGAACGAAACCCGGTGAGGATAATTTTAGGCGTCGCACTGACTACGTAACAGGTCAATTATTTTGTGAAACGCACGCATTTTCTCTGTTTCGTAGTCGATCATCGAGTCGCCGGAGAAACAGTTGACGCTGAACGAGATCTACAACTGGTTCCAGAACACATTCTGCTATTTCCGGCGCAACGCAGCTACGTGGAAGGTATACCATTTCAGTCTAATAAAAGTAAAAATCGTTTTAACGTCGCAGGGCACGAAGAAATCGTTATAGAAAAATAGGTACGACTCGAAATTCAGAGTTATGAATATCATGCAGTTGAAGCAATATCCGTGTCATTGGGCGTTTTCTGAATCGTTCTCGCGGTAGAATTGGAAATTATTCGGAGGAATTAAGAGGACTTAGATTAGTATATGTATAATTAATTGGCCTCACGTTGCATTCATCGCAGCAGTAAAAATAGTCGTTCAATATACATCTCCGAATCTACAGAATATCTAAACTAAATAAAACTAAGGAAATGAAACTTCAGCACACATCAAGAATGATTCATTCACTATAGAAGGGTTAAAAACGATTACGTTACGGCGTGTTATTCACAAAATTTCGTCATGGTAACGCGTGTATTTAGGAAGTCTGAAATATAATAATTCTCTCCGCTGAACGAACGAACTCAGCGTGGCTCGGGTTACGCAACGTTTGATTGCGAGTCACAAAGATGAAACGACTGGTCGTGCAATTTGCATTTACGAGCAGATTAAGCTGAATGCGTTTTAACTAGGAAGGATGAGCTTTCAAGAATCTCAGATAATCTTACGTATTAATTTGAATTAACAGGCTAAGTGATGTGCCGAGCAGAGGAGCTGGTAACGATAATCGTGTTGCTTCCCCGATGTTACGGGAGCGAGTTGTTCGGTAACACGGTGAAATAATCACGCCGTTATTGCGATTCACTTGTTATCGATCGTGACGATTTCTGTTCTCGCCCAGTTCCTTAGCATCCTGGCTGATATCTTTTTTATCTTATTGAGCGAAAGGACGTCACGACTAAACGTAGCTCCGTGGTCTCATTTCATTTTTGGCCGAAATCGTGTAACGATGGATGACAATTAAGTCGTTATAGGAAAATTATCATATGCTCTGCTTGTTGATAAGAGTGCGCTCGCGCGTGTGTGTGTGTCCTCTGCGTGCGTGTGCGAGTGAGTGTGGAAGTAATCGACGTTTGCCATGACGCTTCGCCTCGCATGGTTATGTGTATCTGAAAATTTTCAAAGCAACCATAGGTGCGGCCAGTTATTATTTAACAGAGGAGCCGAGAGAAGAAATTTAGCTACACGGAGAAGGATCCACGTCGCCTGAGGTCGCCATCAGCAATACGACCTTTTCGTACAATCTTCCTGAATTTCTTTTATCTTTTTTTTTTAAACTTTTTATTATTTTTATTGTTTTTTCACTCATTTTGGAATTTTGTACGGCCCTGCGGCATGTATGATTGTTGTCGTTGCCCCTAGAATTAGTTGACTAGCTGTGCATTAACGATAAAAGGAATGCCACATTATACCGTGTATCTTTCGATTAATCGTTTTGGTTCGTTATGTCCTCTTACGGCCTTGTCATTGCGCGACCATCGCCAGGTATCCTTTGCTGCTCACACACGACGTTACTACTAACTCACTCACGATCATTTTTTTTTTTAGCTTTCCTGTTCTGTTCAAGCGGCTCGTCGAGCTGTTTCTTACTAGAAATTCATATTAATGACAGTAAATCGGGTTACCACTTTAGATATTTAATGTAATCGACAAATGCTCGTCATTAGTTTTAATTAGTATTCCATTCTTGATTTTTAGAACACTTTAAAGTGGTAGCCTGAACAATAGACATGTTCTTTCACAAAAAACACGACACAGCTTGTCTATAAAGGCAGTAGAATCAAAAAACGGAAAAAATCCCTCTAAAACCACCTTGAAACCCTTTCGACGATTTTCCGAAACATACGGAATCTAATCCAACCTCGTCTCATCTAAAGCGTGTATTGGTCTTGTCATCGCATCATCATCGCCATCAACGTCGTCGCCGTCGCCGTCGCCGTCGTCAGCTGACGCCGGAGATGGTCTTTAAAAAAAGAAAGAAAGAAAAAGAAAAAGATACACGCCACCGAATCGGTTTCCCCGATCGACAGCCGGCCTCGCGATTGAGTTGGCTTCGTTCGTATTTTGCGTTGCTTATTTAGTCTGTGTATTATTTTGTATAGAACGCAGTGCGACACAACCTGTCTCTCCACAAATGTTTCATGCGAGTCGAAAACGTGAAAGGCGCTGTATGGACGGTGGACGAAGTGGAGTTTTACAAGAGACGTCCTCAACGCGCTTGCAGCACGACCGGGTACGTTGCCCCCCGTCCCACCGACAATCAAAAAAAAAAAAAAAAGAAACAAAAATTTTACAGCCGCGTTTTTTATACTCTTTTATACCACGTCTCTATCACTTCTCTATATATATATTTACGACATATATTATATGTAATACTTGTTTCTTTCTCTGTCTCTTTCTATTTTCGATATATCGTTATAAGAAATGATTCCCCTTGGCCCCCTTTCAAAAGTGGATTTATCCGCAACCGGTTCAGACCATAGAATCTGAAATAATCGGTCTCGGTCGCATCCCTCCCCCTTTTTATACTTAACCATGTCCTACTCCTCTCATCAACGTGAGCTCCCACCCACTTTTGTAATATATAATATATTTATATTTCTATATATCTCTACTCTCTCTATCTGTGTCTTTTTACATATTTATATGTATAGATATTGACATACTATAGATATATTTATACATACTCTCACTTATTCGCTTTTACTCTCTAATTACATTACTCGTACCGCTAACCCACGATCCTTGCTTCTCATATTTATACCGTCCAGTTTTTTATACAATCTTCTTATCTTTTATATATGTGTGTTAAAATATATTTACGCCTTTTTACATTTTTATATATATTATATATAGTACATTTTGATATTTATATGTACATTTATATGTCTCCATAATTAATAGTGTTTAATACTCCATTTTTTATACATTTAAAAATATATATGTATATACATATAGCTTTTTTATAGTATATATGTATAGTTACGTATTTTCATAGCTATTTATATAATATATTAAGTGTTTGATGAGGTCTTACGTGTGCACGCGCGGATAACCCGTGCGTGTCCAAAGCATAATGTATGTAGTATGTTTACGCTCATACAGCGCACGCTTTATTTGTATTTCTCGATATCCAAATATCGATGCCCTGTCCTCACTATTTTTTCTTTTTTGCTTACGCGTGAAAACACGCGTGTAAATCTGCGTGCGTGTGTGTATATAATATATAAGAATTATTTCTTTTTTCTCATTAACCTGTGTACGCCATTATAATTTATATTTTCTAGATTTCGCTTACGTCGTCTGTTTGCTAATATCGGGCTTCCCAAATTATAATTCTCTGTCCTCATTAATATTCGATTTTTAATCAAGCCATCGCGCATTTGCTTCGGATAAATTTTTTATAATAAATGAATTGTATTTGGGAAGTCGGTTCTCTTACTGTGTTTAGTTTCACGTGCGTGTGATTTTGTCTTTTGCCTGTAAAACGTGTGCGATGGTAGCCGTCAGTATGGTTGTTCAAATGTGCGTACGCGTGAATGTGTTTCATAGATCTTGAGATTCGACGATGAGATGGAGGAGGGTGACGATGAGATGAAGGAGACAGGCGGGAATGATTGGTGGATCTCGATGTTGTTGTTTCTTTTCCTTTTTGTTCTTCCCTTGCTCGTGTGGAAGAAATCCGTAGAAAATCGTGGTGTGTGCTTTTTTAACAAGCATGTGGGCTTTGCAGCAACTAACCGATCGAGAATTGGCAGGGCCAAAAGTATCTTTCTATCTCTTTGTTTCTCACTGGCCCGAGTCTAGTCTCGAATACCCGGGAGCCGGATGTACGGGGAGTACGCCAGTGCAGAATGTGAACCGCAGAATTGCACTTGGTCAGGTAGTGAGAGGAGCCGCCTTACACATACGTATTACTTTTGCGTTTGTTTTTTTATTCTCTACCCCTTCTTTGCGAGTCTGTGCTGTCTTTGTCATTCTCTGGAACGCCTGGGATTCGATCGAGTCGAGGGCACGCTCGATCATCGAATTCCTCTGGGTAGGGGAGGAGGACGAGGCTAACAGAGGGCTGTTAACGGCGCGTGCCTCTGTCTCACGGTGAAGACGGTGAACACGGGTTACGCGTGCATGTCATCGAGAGTTACGATCGTTTTGCATCCACGAGGAACGATCGTCGCGCTCGTTCTTCTAGATTCTAGATGCTTTAAAACGAACGCGCGAAAGAAAACGGGTGTACATCTCGGCGGAAATGTAAAGCCGAATGAAATTTAAAAAGAAGGAAAGAAAAAGCGAAATGAGCTGAAAAATTAAAAAAAAGGCGACTCAAAAAAAAAGGAGAAAGCTAGAAAAGGAAAATAAAAGTAAACGTTTCAACAACAACCAGCAAAACAACCTTTATCTTTTTTACTCTCTTTTTCTCTATTTCTTGGTGGTCTTGTCTGTGTATACAGAACGCGATCCGCACCAATCTATCATTGCACAAGTGTTTTGTGCGCTATGAGGACGACTTCGGGTCATTCTGGATGGTGGACGACGCCGAGTTCGTAAAGCGGCGGCATCTGTCCCGCGGCCGCCCCAGGAAATATGACCCAACCCCATCACCCACTCCACCCCACCTCTCCGCACAGTAAGCACTACCACTTTTTAGAATTCTGCTGGCTGGCTGGCGCGACGTTCTGACCTTACCGCGGTATTCTCATGTTAAGCGGCGACCGGGACGTTCTCGCTTGGTCGCTGCCCTTAAATGAACCACTAAACGCCCTCTCGAACCTGCTGCCTTTGTCGTTCGATCGCAAACAAAATAATCATTCATCTCCCATCGTTGCTCATTCTGTGAAAAGGGGTCTCACTTACTTCGGTGACTTCGTATGAAACCATACCAACGTGGAGTTTAAAAGAACGCATCAGTTTTGGCACGTTACGTGCGTTACGTGAAACTCAACGCGACTCATACTACTTGCTGGATACTACGCGCTCCGTGAAACGCTATAAAATTAAAATTCGTTTTCGACGCTTTGTCAGTGACTTCCAAGGCAGCAGGAAGTGGCTCTATGCAGTTTATCCGATTCCCAGGAAACGAATTCCGCATCACGCCTGTCTCGAATCCCCTTTACAAACCTACTCCTTGTATACCAAATAAAGTAGAACCTGTTCAACCTTCCGTGATCTTCGCCAGAGGTGCGCGATACGTTGTAGATTTACGAATATTTTTATTGGAACGCGTAATTTCCTGGCTAATTTAATTCGAACGGAGCGGAAGAAGAAAAATGTCGGCAAATCCGATGTGAACGTAAGAGAACAGAGGATTCTGTCCAATTAAAATTTACGCGCTCGAGCTTATTAACGGTTAAATCTGCGCACCTCTGCTTGTGACGTCCAAAACAGCCCTCATATAGTACCCCTAGTACGTCTCACTAGTACCGTAGCCCGAGGCTCTAGCACACCCGAGAGAGCTTAAATCCTGGACGATCCTGCAGGAGCCCAGCCACAGGACGATTGGTCCGTGCTGCAGGATCCCTGATGTGTTTAGTGGTTGCTCGCATGGATAATCAAGGATCCTAATCTACTCGTTCCCATAAAAATTAAGAAAAAAACAGAATTGGAATTAAAAAATGATACAGAAATAAGAGAAATAAAAATTCCCCGTATAAGACTATCCTTTACCACAGAAAGAAAAACACTGTGCTTATAATTGTATGGTGCTTACGTAGTGGCGTTTGCAGTGTCTTGGGAGAATGTGGAAGTGTTTGCGTGGTCCAACGTTTTGTTACTCTTCGTTTCCGAATTATTTTCTTACTTCTGTTTCGCTGTACAAGCTGGTTTTCGATGTGTATTTGCCCTGACTTCAGTTCTTTCACATCGTTCGTTCACGACGATCGTGCGTGGACGAAGCATTTGTCGCATTATTTTAGTTCCGTTTATTTTCTTTTGTTTCGCTCTTTTAAAAGAAGCAGGCTGTAGCGTAGCAATAGAAAGAGTAAACAAGTTAACGATAGTTTGCAGAAGCAAGCTTTTGTGAACTCTTCTGTTTTTTTTAAAGAATAGCGTCTAATGAGAGAAGGCGTTGCTGAAGTATGTGTTCAGTTTTTTCTCGGTTTCTCTCTCCGTCTCTCACACACAGCGTTCATCGCTTTCTCTGTTTCTGTTCGCCTTTAGTACGCTTTTTCAACGTGAGAATGGTTTTCGGTGTGACTGGTAATGTGTGTCAGGGCTACTCGCGCATGTGTAAATTGTGTAAATTAAGCGTCACAAACTGCAAAATAAGAAATATATCTCGGATGATACGGAACTCTCCAATCATCGTTCTCTACGACCACTCTCTTCTAACTCAGGTACCTTACTGTTTAACGTACTAACTTTGCAACCTCCGGTAATTTTTCTCTACTTTTATCAATCACCTTTTTAAACGTTTTTAACATTTTTTATATATTTCCCTCTTTTTATACATACTCTCGTCAACTTTCTGACTTTCTCTATTTCTGTCGACGTCTCTCCCTGTCTGTCTAATTTCTCTCTTTCCTCTGTCTTTTCTCTCTGTCTTCTTCTCTTTAACGACAGCGCTCTTAGTCACTTAATAAACGGTTTTTGAGCATCAAGTTTTTTATTCTTACATTTTCTCTTCGCATGCAAACAATCGTCTCTTGCAATCGTAATTTCGAGATTAAATTTTGTATGCGTTTGTAACGCATTCCTTGAATTTCACCGTTTGCAAGAGAAAAGGCTATTTTTCCATTCGACGCTTGTCATTTGGAAAAAGTATGTCTCTCGGTCGGCATTCGATACCAAAGCGTTTTAAAGGATTTTTGGAAACTGATAAGGTGGTAAGGCACAGGTAAGCCTCAGAGCCGTTTATAAGGAACGACGTCGTTTCGTAAAGTAAAAAGTGTCAACTTAATAAATTCCAATTTTTAATTGAAGAAATTAACGAAACGGGAGCGCTTTTTTTTTACACTTTTTCTCTAAATCTTTTTAATCTTAATCTCGCTCAATCTCAACCGAACTGATGTTGGACGAGTGACAAGTGAAACTGGTAAATGGGTAAGAGTTTTCGAACTCTCTTTTTCCACTCTTGTTTACCACTTTTTTAATATATTATATACGTGTATACATTTTTTCATATTCTCTCTTCATCTATCTCTCTATCTATCTCTATCACTTTAAATTCTCTCTTTCTCTCTATCTTTCTCTATCTATTATACCTTTACATATTGGAACTCAAAATCACACGTGCACACACTATACACACAAATTCTACCCCTGCCTATCCGCTACCACCGCCCGAAGCCCTTCAAATCCGAAGCCTTTGAATTCATGAAAATTTATTCCACTCCAACATCAACACAAACTAAAAAGATTTTCTAAGAGCTTATATACACGCGTTTCTTTACAGGAGATTATTAATTACCCGAATCTCGACGATTACTAATAGACATTTTCTCTCTCGATATGTAGGGGTGTCCCGTCGAAGAGTCCGACCATGAATCACAGCCCGACCATGTACGGTGACGCGTTAAACGCCAATCTCCAGGTAACTGTTTACAAGCCAAGCATTTCTTCACCTTGAGACATCGAGGCGAAAAAGAAAAACTAACCAGCTACAGGGAGGGAATATGCGTGACTAACCATTTAATGAAATTTGAGTATTTCCAGGCGGCGCTCGGAGATTCTAATATGGGATTTCTAAACAACTCGATGTGCACGTCGACGACGACGAGTCCCGACAAGGAGCACGTGTTAACCCATAGTGATTTAATGTGAGTGAAACATTATCAGTGTCTACACCATTACGTCTAACTTTGCTTGTTTCATTTTTAACCATTTTGGATACGCCAATCTATCCTACCTTTACCGTACTTTTTTTTATGTAACCCGTCGTAACCCGAGACGTTAAAAAATCTTAATCCGCTTTAATGATTAACTCTTTCATTAATCGAAATATGTACATTAATATCATACGTGGGAGAGCGTTCGTCAGATTGTCCGCAAACTCGACAGGTCACCGTTGGATGAACCAGCCGTGCACATAAAACAGGAGGGCCAGAGCCCGGAGGGTGGTAAACTAACCAGATTAATAAAGCGAGAACTGGTCGACGCGCCGGCGGAGCAAGAGGGTGAGGACGATCAGGTGGACGAGAGGGAGTATCCGGAGAGTCACGGGCACGACTCGGGTCAGGATGAAGACATGGCCGAGGACCTGTCGATGGCGCCCGACATAATGACCTCAGAGGATCAGATCGAGGCGTAGTATTTTAGTTCTTCGAGAAGCGAATAGGTTCGAGCTGTCGCGTCGTTGTCCGGTCGTGATGGAAGAACGAAAAGAGGAAGGAATAGAACGAGAAGCTTCTCTTCCTCGTCCGTAGTGAACGAAGACCAGAAGGGTAGAGGTACGGAGCAGAGGACAGATTAGGAGAAGACAAAGAGTAATGAAGATTGGCGAAGGAATGGAAGAAGAAGAAAGAAAAGAATGAGGAAAGGAAGACACGAAGAAGACGATGAAGGCCCCTAGGACCACCCAGCCCTCCACTTCAGCTTCGTAAGAGAACCCCATTTATCATATCCAAAGCCGTGATACGTTTTATCGGGCGGCTTCTAAAGTTAAAGCCAAGAGAGAGAGAGAGGAATACAAAAAAAAGCGAAGAAGAAGGTAACGCTGTGCGTGATCGATCGCGACGAAACGTTGAAGAGTATCGGTGAATATCGTGATATAATCGGCGCGATCCTTCGATTCATATCCTTACTCAAGCAATTGCAAACAACGATGTATTTTCCGTTCAACCAATTCTGTTTCGTTTCGGAACCGTGATTATATCTCTATATATATATACATAAATATATATACATATATATACATAATTCTCTACTCTCTTTCTCTTTCGTGTACATTGAATTAGCGAGTAAAATCGAAGAAGGGAGAAACGAGTTGCATCCGCGATCGTTCGTAGCGTTTCGACGGGAATAATCACACATCCCCTGAAAAATACCAGGAAAAGAAATACGGTGTTTTCCATCCTCGTTTTCGTGGTTCGTTTCCTACTTCCGTTATCGTGATGGTACGCGCGTGTACGACTACGTGTTTGAGCGTGAGTGCGTTCTGCGTGTGCTAATCGCGTCAGTCGCTATTGGACCAATTTATTGAACGAATCGTTAGATTTTCGTAGTCTTTAATTTGAGAGATAAACTGTGACTAATTTTATTCCGGCTGAAGGCACTATCACTTTTTCAAAAATTTCATGCACATTTTCTGCTGACGAAGAGAAAGTCGCGATCAAGGGAACACGCAGATCTTGAGAATAAGAGGTGCGAATGACGAGGAGTTAAAGAAGGCTGGAACTATGTTTAAGGTATGAATAACAAAACTGTGGTGATAGCAGAGTTCTGGGTACGCGAGGGAATGACTGACGCTTTAGTCTTAAATATATCGTGGTAATTAGAAATGTTGGCGGATCAAAAAAGGTCTTCGACGTGATTTCGGAAGGAGTTGTGATCCTTTCTTTATATCAGACAACTTAAGCTTAAGGAAACGCGTCCGCGTATGAAACACGGCCGCGATCCCTGCGTACCCGTTCGCTGCTCCGATGTTAATCACTGTATAGCTTAGGGGAAAAAATTAATCGTAAGTAGTATCGGTCAACGGTCATAGACGTCGACGATGTGCGTGTATCGAAACAGGACGTGCACGCGCTTACCGAACCGATTTTTATCGTTTCGATATAAAACTTTTCCATAAAGCAGTCCTTTAAACCTTTGAGCAATGAAGAGCCGGATAAACTACATCTAACGACGAATCATGATAAGGAAGGTTCGAAACGGGACCGAGGATAATTCAGAATTGAAAATATAATAAAAGCGGATGCCACGAACGCACTTATAAATAAATTAAATTAACTATGTACGCATATGCATATACATATATTAATACGTATACGTATCTCGAAAATTATAAACAAATTAGATGTCGATGGCCCTGTTCTCCGTTCTCCATCCAACGAATCCTCAACCCCTGTCCCTTTCAACCCTGTCGCTCCCTGTGTTCGCGTGGTCAAGATTCGGTTCCGAATTTTTAGACAATGGGACTGCGTCCGATCGGATAGAACCATCGCGTCCAAACAGAAATCGAACGAAAGATAATCGTGGGTGAGGGGCCGTTACTCGTCGATCTTCGAGCCCCTGATACACACACACACACACACTTACACGTGAGTTTAGAATCGAAAGCGTGCTCAAGTCGGTACAGGATAAAATGAAATTTATTCATTATTTTCGATGATTAATAGATGCAAAATGGTGCGTGCCGTTTTCTCAATTTCGGCGCGCCGCAGCGATGGGGAGGGGACGATCGTGTGTGATATTGTTCCGTTCGTACCCGTAGACACGTATGTACACGGTTTGTTTGTAATATTTTTGTAAATTAATTCGTTCCCGGGAACGTATGTATGTAGATAAATTTAGAGATCGGGACTCCATTAATTGTCAGGGTAATTAATTAATTGCTCGTCGAAGAGACTCTTCCCACACTGCGGCCCGACGATTATGTTCGAAGGAATCGCAAGATGTTTGATTGTTTTTTTTTTCCTAGTATTTAACAATACTAGTCGGGAAGCCGGTTTAATGAGTCATTTAAGGTACGTCGATCGACGTCGACTCTAACATTCTCACATCTTACTTCCGTTGAGAAAACAATCATTTAAAAAGTCTATATTTAACGCGACTTTCATTAGTAATATTAGCATGAGTATCGAGCCAACTCTTCTCCTAGTCCTGAATAGAATCTGTTTAATTTCTTTCTCTCTTTTAACATGGATCGTGCACTTCACATATTGCGAGTAAATAGTAAAATGCGTTCGCAATTATTTGACCATTTTTTCATTCCTGAGTGTTAGATACTTGATCCATTCCGCGTACGGCACGTAGCTTGTAGGAATCTTAAGTTTTACCTTGTATTATTCCATATTGACTTCCCATACGAGGAGCCCTTCGATTCTCGTTGTTATTCCGGATCCATAGTTCGCGAATGATTGAAACTTTATCAGAGAAAGGAAGAGAACAAGTGAGAAACATGTATGCGAATGTGTGTACTCAAATCAGGTGCGTCAGTGAACATTGAATAGCGAAAGAGATAGAGTAAATTAAAAGAGAAACACCTACACGGAAGAGGAAGTCAAAGAGAAAGAAGAAAAGTAGAAAATCACGCACGACTGGTGCCGTTTTGGGCTCGCTTTCACGTATCGCTACTATTACTAATCTAAGTCTACATGTATTGTGTATAATGGATTATGGACTCGTTATAATATAGAAAGACTCTCCTGTAAATAGTTGGTAAAAAGAAGAAGAAACTCGTCGAGGCATTAGGGATTTGCGAATACTGCGTCACTTTGCGAATGAATGAGTTCATCGATAGTGTGGTATATAAAAGTCTATATATATAAATACAAATCTATATAAGTATACAAACACAACACGCAACAGATACACAAGCGTGCGAGCGCGCGCGCGCGTACACATTCACACATGCATACATAAACCGCGTATTGTGCGTATCCCGGCTGCATTTAATTTTTACTTTTGACATCTCGAATTTCGCAAAAAAAAAAAAAAAGAAGGCGATTGCAATTCTCACGAGCCGACTGCTCGAGGAAAAAGACACTTTCTCGTTTTATCGCATCATGATTGATTGTGTCGCGATATAAAAATGTAAAGATCAATCGATTTCGAGTGGACACGAAACTTCTTCGATTCACGAAGGCAGGAAGATCGTAGTTTGTTTTTCTTTTTTCCCGTTCAAACGTTCTTTTGTACAGTAGCTACTGTTATCTCGCGAATATTCTATATTGTACAGGTTTAAACGTTTTCTGTTATGTTTGTTATATATTTCGGATAAGTCTTGTAAAGAACAAAGGAGCATGATTGTTTAAAATTTTTTGTACAAGTGTAGGAAAGACGGGATTTAGTGTATTATTATTCTAGTTCGTCGAATAGTCACGTTTTCAGACGCGTGATACGTCGCAAGGTATAAATACCTTTACAGAATTTTCTTTCTCTTGTCAACGGATCGACAATTTCTGACGCGTTCGTCTTTTACGAAGTACGTACACATGACGAACCAGCGCGATCATATCAGAATAGGATAGAAGGAACAACTAAAATAGGATCGAGTGAACAGTGCCGAATAAATATGTTTCTTTTTCGCTATTTTCTTACGCGTTCTTACGCTTATCGTTAGATACGATTGTTAACTCGAATCGGTGGATTTAAAACATAATTTTGATACATGAAATTCGTTCGTTTGCACGTGTTCACTCAAAATTTCCACGTATATATACGTAGTTGAATCGAAACGAATTATTTGGCTTATTATCAGAGCATACGAAAATCTATTTTTTAATAAAACGATTTATGTATACAGGAAACGCGTTCGGATCCATCCCGAACGATTTCAAATAGTTCAGTATTATCCTGTGCCCTATGAAAACGAGGAAGTTCTAAAAAGACCGCAAACCCAATCTGTTTATTAGTAACAGTGAACAGTGTTTAGGAAACCCATTATCGTCTGGATTATTTTATTAAGTATTGTATAATAAGTTGCCTTGTAAAAATGTACCGATTTTACCGAAGAAATTAAATGTGTTACTAAAAGAAACAAACCAATCTCTGAACTGTTTCATCGACCCTTTTTTTCAACAGAAAAAAAGGTACCGTGGTATAGCAATTTATCGATTTATAAGTAGTCGTAATAATTGTAAGTAACGAGAGTTATCATTTTCACTGTACTTTCTTTGTATAAGACTGACATCGTTTGTATATGCTTAAAAAGGAGATAAAGAAAGAAAGAAAGATATGATCTTGTTAGATACGTCAAGGTTTATACACGTAAATTAATGTGTCTACGATTATATGTGTTTAGATCACAGAAGGACTTATATCATACTGTACATAGAACACTTATGAAATCGCATTTTCTAGCTCGAATTAAGCTTTAGCGTTAAGTCTTTATCTAATAGAATCGTCTTGAGAAGAATATACATACTTAATAAAACAGCAATTCGAATGAACACGAGGATCCAAAGCTGTCTAAACTGATTGTTTCCGAATTCCTTGTTTGTCATATTTAAATAAAACGACTGCGAACAATTTGTGTTTGTGATCCTGCCAAGCTGTTTCGTCAAATATCATTTTTGTTTCCCGTAAAAACCTTGTTTTCACTCAATAGATGCTGAAGAAGTTTTAAAAATAGATGCGAATAATTTTTCTATCGTACTCAAATTCTGTTATTTAAATTTCTTATAATTTTCTGATGTCAACAATAATTCGTCTTACTATCAATTGATAAAGAGACTGGGAAAGATTGGACTTATTATCGATTTTGTGGAAAATTTAGTCTGATACAAAAGAAATTTATTTTTTCACTTACTATAAATTTTCAAATAGAATCACGAATAAAGTTTATTAGTAATATTTCAACATAAATACAATTCATATTTGTTCGTAATGAATACGTTTATTAATAGATATGTACAAAACGTTCATAAACTTCTCTTTGTACTTTCATAGAATTAAAATTCGTGTTCATAACAATCATCGAAAAGTGAATATGCAATGTAAGTATAAATAAAAAGAAGAGAAACATCCGAAAGATGCTTAAGGCTGTGGTCGATTTCCGTGGAGAAACGTATATATCGCATTTCTCAATGTTACGTTCGGAGTGAACGAAGTATCCTGAAGAGATTTGTTCGTCATCGGACTAGTATATTTTCCACACAGAAACCATTCGTTTATAGCTGCCTTTTCGTACGTAAATCCATCTAAATAAAGGTATGAAATCGTTGATCGAACTTTACATCCTTATCTTGATTTATTTTCGAGTTGCTTACCAGAACATTGCACCGGTTCTCTCATTACTTCATGCGTAATGGGACATAGAAACTCGTGAGGAATTTCGGTATCGTCTATGGGAATATCTACCATGTTACTGTCTTCACGCTTCAACCAGTATAATTGCGTTTTGAGAACTTCTGTTGTCTAAAAATATACAATTAGTAGAAGCGATGGAGATTCGGGAAACGATTGCATAATACGACGCGATATACCTCATCATCGTCTTCTATTCGCAATATCTTGATTAATTTATCCTCCGATAAGGTAAGCAACTGTCTCCCTGTCAAGGAAGCCGCATAAAATTTCTTTATTAATATCGACAACCCTATTTCGTCTATCCATTTCACAGTATCATCGACTTTCCAGTCCGCAACCTTGTGAGTTAACAATTGAACGCATTAATAAATCATGTGACGTAATATCGTGTAATATATATATCAAACTTGCTGTCGGGACGTTACCGCGTTCCTCGATATTCTAATTTACCTTTTTCCTATTATGTTTGAGATTGTTCATTAGTATGTTCTGCGAAATTATATGTTGTGGTACATTCCACACTAGAACGGTTTTATCTAGACCACCTACGAATCATTCATAATAATTATTATCAATTTATAAAGGATTAACCCTTTGCCTAATGATTTCTTTTCGACATCTTGTTTTAATCATCGATCTTTTTTTATACTTAACAATAATAGTCTGTTAATTTTTAAAAAATGACTCGGACTACTATATTACCGACCTGAAATTATTTTTTATACAGTTCGATCAGAAGCGAGGTAATCAGACAATGGGTTAATAAAAATGTACAGTTTATATTAATTGATTCGTACCTGTTATGAAGAGCGATGTATCTTCTGAAAAAGCGCAACTCGTTACAAGACTCTCGTGTTCCTCTAGCACGTACAAGCATGCCCCAGTGTACTAGAATATTATTTGTCTGTCTACTCATACATTATATTTAGATTTATGTTACCAAAAAGAAGAGATAAACTTTACTTACTACGCTCCATATGCGTGCCGTTCTATCGGTAGCTACGCTACCTAAAATCTCAGTTTGCGTTGGAGAAAACCGTACGCAAGTGACGTTGCCACCATGTCCAGGTAACGATCTTTTCTCTTCATATCGCGTATCGTTGCTGCTACTTCCGCCTGTCACGATTTCATTCTCCTTGAAAATTGTTATTCGCCACAGTTTAACCAACGAGTCGTTACCGCCAGTTGCAAGAAGGTAAGATTGGCTTGCGTTGCTAGTGTTTTCCCATTTTCCTACATGATTCGCGATGAATAAAACGAAATGGATGAATAGGTAGATGTACCTGTATGCATTACGATATTGATTCGTGCTCACCAGCAAAATTAGACGTTGGACTGAAGTCGCACCCTTGAACTCCCAAGTCGTGCGCTTCCTCGCACGTCATTAATGCTGTAAAATATTTATCATCAATTGTGTCGAATAATCTCCAGGTGCCTTCGTTGCAACCAGTGACCAAGTAACGAGAATCGTGAGTGAAAGCGATCGCGTTCACCGCATCAGAATGGCCCCTTAGAACACTGTAATAAATATAGAAGTACAATTGTTTCTGTAAACATAATAATTCCGAGTTATACGTGTAAATTTCAAGTACCAAATCTCCTCCATATTATCCACGTTCCATAAAGTCGTCCGTTCATCGTCTCCAGCAGTGGCAATCTTGGTGCCATCGGGTGACCACCGGCAGACCCGAATTCCAGAACCCAAATTCATGAAAGACGATTTTGCTTGAGAGCCATTCTATAAAAGGAAATGTAATTTCTAATAACTGAATTAGTATAATCTAACTAGTATTCCTGGACAATTACCTCTGTATCCCAAATGATAGTCGTGCCGTCTAACGAGCAAGAGGCAAGCATACGACCACAAGGGCTAAACTCCACATGATTTATACTATATTTATGACCGTCCAGTGGACTGAATGATTTCTCTTGAAATCTTAAACTAGATTCCGTGCCTTCTTCTTCCTCAACTTCAATGTTCCAAATTCGTACCAATTTGTCCCTAAAAATAAGTTTTCCGTTATTATTAAAAAGTGAACAAAACTGAGAACCACGTATTTATTGCTATTCATAATTTTTTAAGAAAACACATGGCATGCGTAGTACAACATAACTAACCCAGATCCAGAAGCGATCATATGATTTCCGTAGAAAGCTACGCTATTTACTACGCCAGTGTGGTCTTCTAATCTTTGAATTAATTGTACGTCGTTCCGAGATGTCTCCGCGTTCTTCATTACATTTTGCTCATATGCAGTACTCTACAAATGATAGCAATATTGAATTTAATTTTAACAATTGTAAGTACTTTTTTTTATAACTGTAGATAAATGAAAGCGTACGCGTTCAGCATCGTCAAGGAATAAGGCAGGCACAAATCGTCGCGCAAGTTCGGAATCAAAGCTTAAGCTCCCTGTAAGATCCGAGACAATCACTGATTTGTCATTGGAACCTGAAATTCAAAAAACTATATTATAAAAATATCAGAAACGCGTCAGAAATATTTGTCAATTTTATACAATTCAAAACACACCTGTCGCTAATAAGTTTCCATCTCTGGAGAACGCGCAACACGCAACATATCTGTTATGACCCGGAATTATCGCGATTACTCTTCCGGAAATCTGAAAGAAATAGCGACAATCACGTTCACCATTTAGCTGTTGTTATGTATATTAAGTGCGTTACATTCGCTATCAGTTAATAATGACAGTGTAGTGAAGAATCTCGCGTGCACAGTTATGAAAATCAATATGAATTCTTTTGTGAAATTCACCGAGAAGCATTTCTCCGCGTATACATACATATATACACACATATGTGTATATCTTATTGCGTGATTTTATTCAGTACCGTTTCCCAGATCACCGCTGTTTTGTCGAGGCTGCTACTAGCGATGTACATTCCGTTTGTGGCAAAACGAACACAAGTTAAGGCACTACTGTGCTTCTCCATGATTCTGCTCAGGCTTATTTTGGCAGTGGACGGTGATGTATCGCATTTCGATTGTATCACAGTTACCTCCCACAATTTAACGTTATGATCGTTACCGCAAGTAACCAGTTGATACAACTTGGTGAACGGTTCGTTACCTAAGTATGAATCGTGCGTTCTCATGTATCTTAATTATTAACTCGCCGATAGATATCATCATCATTTATGCAGTAATTCTCAGAAAAAATAACTGTCGTGTCGTAGAAACATTTATCGCATACCAGATTGGAAATTAGAATTGGCGAACTGTAAACTGTAACAGAGTTCTTTACGTACTTGTAATTTCTTGGGAATTTGAAAAGTCGCAGGACACGACGCCTAGATCGTGGGCATCGTCCATCCAAGCTAACGCAGGGATGGCTTGGCTGTCGGAGAGGCACGAGTCGACGATATCAGCAACCGAGAATAATTTTAACACGCCGAAAGTGCAACTCGTAATTAACCAACTGGAATCCGGTGAGAAACATACGCTCTGCACTGCACCGTCGTGCTTTTGAAAGCATCTAAGCGCGGACAGTGATATCGTTACGTTACAATATAATGAAATAAAATTGAATCGAAAATTTTTATATTTAAATAAATCGAGACGACAAGCCAATCACTCAGCTAATGTATCACATATATTGTGTTTTACGACTTACGCATTACGGTCGATTCGGTTCTTGCCTGATTAAATTGCGTCGAATTAAATCCCAAACGCAGACTTGCCCGTTGTCACCAGCAGTCACGAGTAAAGTTGAATCTGGCGAAAACCTGCATACCCTCACAGATTCGCCACCCACTTGAACCATGGTATGAATTTTTGCACCTGTCTGCAATTAAATACATAGATTTATTAGATATAAATAAGTCGATTTATTAAACGTACGCTCGTATTTTCGTATTTACCCGTAAATTCCAAAGTAACGTCGTCCCGTCTATACTAGCTGACGCTAACATCGTTGATTGCGGGCTGACTTTGACTGATGTAACACCATACTTATGCCCTTGCAATGGGGAAAAGTGTGCTTCCACATATCCCGCACCCACTTTCCATTGCCAAACTCTGATACGTTTGTCCCTGAAGAAAATAATATAATAATGTCCATACTCCGTTCTTTAAAAGAAAAAAATACAAGAATCAAATGAATTATTGCTCTTCTGTCAGTTTCTCACCCCGATCCAGTTATTAACACGCAATCACCAGCAAAATCAACAGTTGTTACATCGCTAGTGTGACAAGCTATCTTTTGCAGAACTTGCACTTCTCTTATTTCAGTCGTCATTCTTGTGTAATTATTAATTCCTTGTAGATATCATTTATACGTATCGTTCACGCTGACGACAAATTATACTGCGATGAAAAAGAGGATCGTTAATAATGATCAAATATAAATATTAATTTCATTATCTTTATCTTCTTAATTTAAAGTTTTACTACTCGATGTATCTACAAGGCCGTACAATTTTCCTTCATTTCAGACGTATAAGCTGCTTATTAATGAACGCACGAGAACACATGGCATATGTGGTAAAAATATAGGATATTTTCAACAAGACGTGGAAGAAACGTGGTGTAAAGAAACGTGGAAAGTTTGAGACCTTGACATTGATCAATATGCATGTTCTGCGAATGTATTTCTATTTAGCAGCAACTATACTGCACAACTGAATTAGAGAATTAAATTAATTGATCGTTTAAATATTATTAAACGTTATTAAATCAAAAACCAACCGTTGCATCGTAAAATACAAAATTTTTTAAACATTTATTTAGTATATAAAGTGCTGATTGTATTTGAACGATAAGATATAAAAATACCGGCGAGAATAAAAACGCATTAGACATTAATCAATATGACTAAATTGATTTTAATTACATTCTTGAATAATTTTGTTCCGAAATTTTCTCGGAAAATGTACGTGCACCCAAAATATTGAAAATTGAAGTGTTTTAATAGAAACCAAACCGAAATTGAATGACAAATCACGTGTTTGTCGAAATGAATGTTTCGATGTAGCAATATCAATGTGATATAATGATAGTTGCATACTTACAAAAGATTTATTGCACTAGCGTGTCACATGTCTTCACATGAAGAGGGATTCGATGCAAAGCCGAAATAAGCTCCGCGTACGAAGCGTTCCATGTTATGTATAAAGACGATGGAACGCTGAACGCATGTCTATTGCAGCTACACGAGATCGATATTCCTCAACTAATTTAGCAAACGTAACTTCGTACGTCTGACTATAATTGATGATTGACTGACAGCATGTAGATAGTTATTAGATTAATACGGAATGGTAAGAGCTATAAGCATAACAACTGGTCAATAATGTTCTATTAAATATTTTAACATGCTTCGTGCATCAAAAGCGAATGTTATGACGTGGATAGAAAAGCGTAACTAATTAAGAATTAGAACGTGAGAAATAAAATTTATAGCTGATATTTAGAAAAATATATTGAAACAGTATTGCTGATTAAGATTTGAGGGGTTTCAAAGTACATATTTAATAATTACAAATTTATCTCAGTGGCATAAAATCATTTTTATTAGTTCTTAATGATATACAGAATTATTTGTAATAAAGAAATGTACAAGAATGTACTTGTACTACGTTTGGTATGCTCGAAGTAGCAACGGCCTATACATAGTCAGACAGTCTATTCTATTTAAAGTCAATTTCGACGTTATCGACGCAGTGTCCACGTTGCTTACTCCAGGTGGCCACTAGATGCTATCGTCGATGGAACAATTTAAAAATTGAGGGAAAGAGTTTTCAGTTCAGTGTAAATTGTGAGAAACTGCGAGTGGTTATGTAAAACATTGTATTGTTTGATTTTTTCGGGTATAATTGTGATTCGTAATGTTGGAAGAAGTTTGAAGGAGTGGCAGACGGTGAGTAGTAAAACTCCGATGTTCATTATCTAATATTTAAATTTGCTTGGCATTTCAAATAATTCCTTTAGCACTCTTTATTTGTTGGTCGCAATTGTTATAATTAATATACAATAGTATTATACATGTATGATCCGAGATATTCTGTATTTTGTCAGAATATTATTCTGCATAATTGAAGTTTATTGACTTTTACAACAATTTAACGAAATTTCTACATGTTTATTGGGAAAATGACTGCAATCTCTCATTCGTTGGGGAAGTATAATTTCAATGAAATTTTGTTTTTTAAGGAAATGTATTTATAGAATAAATATGCAAACGTGTACAAAGAAATATCCAAAAACATTTAGTTTCACAGTGCTTATTTCATCTTCACTAGTTATACTCACTGGATAGAAGCAGGATGTTATACAATAATATTTGAAGCTCCTATTATTTATTTACACTTAGTTACAATGAAAATGCAAGTGTTCATTATTTGGGTCGTTTCATAATATAAAGGAATCAATGAATATTTGATAAGTAGTGTTTTTATAACAGAATCAAACATGTAAAAATACTTATACGAGTATGTCTCGATTGTTGCTATAAAAAGGATGGCTCTCGTTATCAACGATGTATGTATCGTTTAATTTCAATGGAAAAATTAAATTAAGGCGTATCAGAAAGTGATGGCGATCGTTTCATATGCATATCACGCGTACAACAAAACATTAAGATCATGTTTATGTACAAATGAACGAGCAACAACATGAGCAAAACGCGCCATCACTTTTTCTTCGCGTCCTTTAACCCAGCGCCGGCGTTGAACTTAAAGAAAATTATGTCTCCGTCCTCGACGACGTAATTACGTCCTTGTTGTCTATATTTTCCGGCAGCCTGTTAAGACATGAGTTATTATCAATCGTCGTACGATTAAGTATTTAATTCTCGATTATTATTATAATACTCACCTTCACCGCTGCTTCTGAACCCTCGTTTTTAAAGTCTTCGAATTTCATAACTTCAGCCATGATGAATCCTTTCTCAAAATCCGTGTGAATTTTTCCCGCGGCTTGAGGTGCCTTTGCACCTTTCTGAAATTATAATATTGCTATGTAAAACTATGGGAGACATTCTCGAAAGAATTTAAAAATCCACTTCGTTTACCTGAATCGTCCACGCCTTCACTTCATCGTGTCCCGCTGTAAAGAAGTACTGCAATTGCAGCGCTTTGTATCCCTGAACGATGATCTTATCAAGAGCGCTGGAAACGATTCGCAATTTGAGACGATCAAATTTTTCGCACAATGTATTAGAAAAAATGTAGCGAATTTCCAGTTCAAGAAAGGGGTGCCCGAAAAACAGGACTTTGGAATATGATTGTCTCGAACCAAATATCGTCTAATGACAGGGTACAGAAAGGGAGGAGGCCATCCTGTTCTGTAGGCCTGACGAACTTCGAGACTTCAGAGAATACACATAAAGCTGAACGACTTAATACCGCAATTTTATCACTCCGACTCTATCCGGGGATCTACTCCGGCGCCTTAGTTATCTGCGGTCTCGAAATAAAATCGCGGTATCTCTAGAAATCTTCCGTTTGTCCCCTGTGATTACCGCGTGGACCAATCTCGCGCGATCATTTCGAGGGATCAACAATGATTGCCGAAATAATTTCGATTTCTGACCACAGCGCCGACGCGAAATTATGGGTATCATTGCCGAATGCGATTTAATATTTTTCGCGTTGTCTACAATTAAACAATATCCTCCTGCAACGCTCTTAATTCAAAACAGTTACTACGTAAATGTATATAATGAGATATTTTCACAGAGTTTCATTTTTTTAATAGATGACAGATCAATATTTGAAATATACAAAGTTACTGTAAGTAACACAAATTGGTTTTGTTCGCGAATGACCCAGTAACCAACTGAACCGGTTGATTCTCATTCCACTCGCCTCCCTAGTTATACTGGCGCACAATTGTTCAACAGTGGATAAAAATAATTTTTTCGAGTATTTAGTTTTTTGTGTTCTTTATTACACATTGACGTTACCGAATTTTTTCCACTGAAAGACAGTTTCGAACCACCAATCGGCGTGCCTGAGACGGTAGGGCGAGTTTTTATGCAACTTTTTAAGAATTTGAATAGTCGTTCGTAAAAAATATAATGCGCCAAACTGAGGAAGACGCAGTTTTTATTGGTCAACCGACCTGGTCTAAACGTTTAGCCCGGAGACCCCCATTATTATTACTGTTAGTAGAGAACTTGGTGCACAGCTAAATGTGGGAACCAGACTTTCTTGGATTTTAGGTCTTGGCCAGACTACACGAATTTTACGAACGAATTTGGGTATTCTAAACTGTAGCATTTTCGCGTAGAGCACATATTTGGCAGTGGTTTCATTTGCAAGTATAAGTGTGGTTCTTTCATTTCGAATGATCGTGCTCCGTTTTAAAAATGAGAATAAGAAAATTACACATAATTTCACCCACCTTGTGACTTTGTTTTCTTCCAAATACTTCGCGCGCTCCGCCTCGTTCATGTCGGCAAGCTTATTCTCAAAAACACCGCTGAATGGGATTAAAATAGCTCCAGGATCGTTCTTGTCAACCCATTCTTTAATCTTTATTAACCTGAATTTGATAATATCAAATAATTAATTTTATTCCTAGTTTTTTAATTAATACCATAAACTTACCATTTATTTTTCTTACGTATGTAGTCTTTCTCGGACAGATTAACTAGGTAAATAACTGGCTTTGACGTGAGGAACAAATACTTATTAAGAACTTCAATCTGTAAACGCATATCATGATGTATCGCACCGATGTTAAAACTTTTTCATTCGCGAAGGCAACGTAATTAACTTACGTCAGTAGCACTCCAATCGGCAAACCTGATATGCCTCTTTTCATCCACCAATATGCCTTTCACTTTCAACAAGGTATCCTACGCAGAAAAGTATTTCACCTTTTATTTCTTACCCTTCAGACCGTGCAAGTACGCGCCAATGGGTGGAATAATTCCCTGATCGAACTGTGATTAGAGGATTGCACACTAGTTTAACCGGGAGAAAGAGAAGAGAGAGAGAGAGAGAGAGAGAGAAAAGACGAGGAGGTAGCTTCGAACTCTCGAAAAGTTTTAGTAAATTGCAAAGTCTAGAACGAGGGAGAGATCGGAAATTGCCGTGGGTCAATCCACGGAAAGAGGGTAATTCGATTGATTCGTTCTAGGAAGTAGTGTACCGACCGCGCTCTCTTAATTTCCTCGGTAATTTCGTTCAGGCTCTGCAATATGCCTGCATTTACCACGATTTCCTTCGTTTTTTTTTTTTTTTTCGAATTCCAAAAGGAATAAAAATCTTTTTTCCTGGTAACAGTTTCTACTTACATATTCAGGTTTCAGCTTCTTGTCGTTTCCCCGTACCACAAGCTTTTCCAATTTTTCGAGATGCCCATTTAAGAACTCGATATCTTTCAGTCGTAATTCCTCGCTAATAATTTCGAGATCTCTCACGGGATTCACATCTCCTTCTATGTGCGTAACATCGTCGTCGTCGAACGCTCCTGTATTCAAAGCGTTCGAAATACCAGATTAATCTCGACCTTAAACATTCGCTTCTAGGGAAGCCATTTCCGAGGAAACAATTAACAAAAGCCATAACGTGCACCCCTATGCACTTATAAGCTAAATGCGTGTTGCAAGATCAACTCGAATCCCTGATTGCATGTGCAATAACATGGGGATAATAAACAGCAACAAACTAATCCTTCAATCTCATATCATGCGCGTTGGTTCAACCATTCATTTTCTCTATCGACGTAATCGATTTTATCAGCAATTATTCGTCCGCAGGACAGCGTACGTTATCGCTCGGTTTGTTCCCTTACTAAATAACTTACGAGCAAGATGAAAAATTCCATCGCACGCGTTGATATGCGAGAGGAAATTGTTTCCAAGACCCTGTCCCTCGGCGGCGCCTTTAACCAATCCGGCAATGTCCACGACATTTAAGAAAGCCGGAACTTTGCTGAAAGCAGCAACGTGCCAAAAGATATTTCTCTGGCTACGATATTCAACCGAATTTCAAAGTGACAGCGGTGGTAGTAGCGCAGCCAGGAATTACGGCACATTGTGACTGCACATGTGCACGCGTCTAGAATCGAAACGAGGGTCGCTCGCGGTGACAACGAGCTGTATTTAAATGCTAATGCGAGTAGCCTCATTAAACAATTAGCCTTTGAAGCGAGGCGTCGGTAAAATGAACAAGAAGGGGGACGCGGCGTTAGGTGGCTTTCATTAGGGATCGTTGAATCATCCGACACGTGACAGTAGTCGGACCGTGCGATGTCACCAACGAGAGTGTCCCAGATCACTGCGTCGCAGAATGAAAGAGCCACTCTTTGATCTCGCGCCGGTTTTCCCATTTTAATCCTTCAAAATTAGTCGAATTGTAAGCAGTCGCACGTGTCTTAAAATAATTTCAATGGATCCTCCTTGATAATTATTCATTAGCGTTTTTCACTGTTTGCAATTGACCGAGCATCTACCCTCTTGCGTTTTCGTTAGCGAAAGTGGAGAATATATTTTGCGAACGACCCTTCCATAATTCCGGTGCTTTACACGTTCAATCTCGTCGTGTCAACGTGGCAGCGTGATGATGCTGGCCACGGTAAACACGGTTTTCATTGACGGTTACCTGCGCCAGTGCATGGCCACAGCACGTATAGCGGTGTATCAATAAACCGTTCATCCCTGCACTCAGTCAGTATCAAATTTTAATTAGCTGTCTCGATTCTGTTTTTGTCATCTTTTAAAACGATCAAATTAATTGTAAATGTAATTTAGATAACGAGATGCAATGAAATGTATAAATGCTATTTTAGTATTGTAAAAAGGATGTACGGAAAATGGTCGACGTTTTAACATGGACTGTGTCGCATAAGACGAATTTCGTCGAATCTGCATTCCAGATCACGTACCAGGGCTTCCTCGAGACCCCGTCCCTATCTCGCGCAGATAAAAGCGAAGAAGTATGGAAATGTCAATGATTATTCCAAGCCGTTTCCCACCGTCGGTGGTGAATCTCTAAATAGATACTCGTCGGTTTCTTTCCAACAATACATATTTTCGCATATTTCTTTGTAACGATTAAACAATATTTATGAATAGGTACTTACCTTGCTGGTTTGAAATATTCGCACAAATAATCGAACCTCGCGTCGGGAACAGGTACGCGACGTGCTGGAAAACAGAACCCAGTTAGACGCCAGGGAAATCAAATTATAAATTATACAGGGAAATGCGCTATTAATCTATTTACAAATTATTTATTAACAAGATTTTACAATAACACTTAAATACTATTGATGTAAATTTTAGTCGTCCGACGTTTCGTCGCTCTGCGGGTCGGCTAAAATCTGCGTCGGCGATGTTCGACGGAACGCAATGGAAGGCGAGTGTCGCGTAAATATACGGGATATAGTTGATAATTGTCCCCTCAACCCATACACAGGATTAGGGACATACTTGTATCCTGGCAAGTGCAGAGAAGGGTTCAACTGCTTCTTTATCACCCTGGTTGCTACCTTAAGAATCTTTTCAAAATTGCAAATTCTTCTGGTGACTGCTTTGTACACATCGACTTCTTTTAACGAGCAAGATTTGTTGTGAGCTTTCAAGAATACGCCGATGTAAATCGCGGCTGTAGCCGTGGGCGACAAACCTGGCAACTTTGGTCGAACTACGCTAACCTGATTCACGGCTCGTATTATCAATTGAGCGACCGTCTGCTCTAAAAAGCCGAGGTGCGGTAATTTGTGTATGTCCACCGGCGGTAGTACGCGCAAAAATTTGATATTGACACTCGTGTAGGTATCGGGTTGCGCTAAAAATTTCTCGCGACATTCCTCTGTGCAGAATATGTACACTTTGCTTTTATAAATTACGGCTAGACTTATTTTCCCAGGCACGAGCCTGCGGTCCGGTAGACACTCGACGTACGTTACAAGGCAAAATCCTTTGACTTGTAAACGTCTAGTCCAACAAGGATGTTCCGGATCGATCGTTTCGGTTATAATCCTAGGACGGTCCTTCGGTAGACACTTATCGTTCATCGGTGGGAGATAGTTCAGTGGGTTTCGCACAAATTGTTCCAGGTGTTGCGGGCAAATCCAGTAGAAGTGTTCTCTGAACTGGACCATTCCTTCGTGATCCGGTGGAGGTCCAGAAAATCTCATGATATCGTCGAGATACAAACACATCGGACAATAGAATTCGAATTGACTCTGTCTCCTCGTAAATTCGTATGGTGAAACGCTCATGTATTTTAATCTGTGAACCTTCTCGTAATCGCTTTCGCGGAAGTACGATCTAATCGTCATGTACCTTGAACAGACTTCCTTATCAGCTTTGGTCCATACGTACCACCTGCACATGGTTGCATCCACTTCAATTATATTTTGAGTGAACTTCTGCAACCAACTACGATAGTTTTCGTAATCTGCTTGCCAAATGGTATAACGATGCGTCAAGAACTGATTAGAAAAGTTTGTTGGTTTCGTCGTATAATCAGCTCCTTGAGACAAACACTCTAAGCAGAATACGAGATCTGCTTTGAGATCAAGTATAACCATTGGTTGAATACTTAAGAGAGTCAATGCTTCGTACTCTTCGCGATTTACGGGGAAACCGTCCAACACGAAACCTTGAGAAACCGAAGAAGGATCGATGGAGTACATTTCAATGGCACGGTACACGCACTCCATTGGTGCAGTTTTGCCTAATCGAAGACTAGACTCCGCTGATTGCACGAATTCCGTCCAAGCAAAACTTTTCATAACGTGACGTAGAGCAGCTCCTCGCGTTATCACTTTTATATTGTATTTCTTCGCGAACCGCTCCGCGAGGGTCGATTTTCCACACTTCGGTGGACCGATAATGGCCAGGCGAAATGGAATCACAGGCACACAAGAATCCACTTCGAAGTACTTGAATGGATTCCTTAAGAACGCAGAGTGTGCCTCTTTCTCAGATAAGAAATAAATAAATTGTCGATGTATGACAGCATGAATTTCTTGCTGAACTTCCTGCGGTAGAAACATATGTAAAGGAACTTTGTTTTGACATAATTGTACTGGACACCAACGGCCGAAGGAACTCAAAAGATAGTAACCGTGATTCAAAAGAGTTTCCGCTGTTTCAACATCGACGGTATAGACTTTTTCTAAAGTAGCGACGTTCCGACAGACGTATGGCTCGAGGATTCTCATAACGCGCAGAAAAATTTCCGTCGGATCGCCTTCTCCGTCTATAGTGACGTACATTATCGATTCGCCCTCCAAGCTTTCTCGCACAGCATCCACTTTTACAGATTCGTTATTGTACCTTTCGTGAAACTCTTGGTCCATTCTTTCCTTCGCTACTTCTTCGGTCTCCCAGTCGGTGAACAGTACAGGCTGCGGATTGTCACGATACCATATTTCTTCTAATTCAAATCTCGTAAGTACTGTCGCCTCCTCCTCTTGGTCTTCCATATATTCCGCCATAAACTCTTCGCCTTCGAATTCGCCCATCTCGCCTTCTTCCTCGGTTCTCCGACGATTTTTGCTCAACATGTGTTCGATCCAATCATCTCGCTTTATCTCGTACTCTTCAAGCTCCGTCGCGTATCGGGAAGATTCTTCGACTTTCTTCTCTTCCAACTTGTGTTGCCAAGTCTCGAGCATCAAGGACATGATTCTTTTATACGCCGTGTCTTTCCCGCAGCGAAGTTCTATTATTACTTCCGGCACTATGTAATTCTTCAACGCTATTTCCACGTCTTGCCGACAGCTTGGGAACTGGTTGAGCACGACACCGGATTGCCCGAAGAGTCCCTTGAAATGTTTTAGTATACATTCCTGATACATTTTCGCTGGAAGATCGCTTCCATTTTTCCAATAGGAACGAACAAACGTTTGGACCGTAGCAGAATCGCTATTGTATCGCTCATCATTCATATCTGCTGGCAATTCCACTTCTTCCAAAAGTTTTTCTGGCGAAACAATGACATCCATGTGAGTAATCAATGGCGCTCCGCAAGACTTCGCGTACATAGCGCAGGAATAAAAGTAATCTACATGAGCTAAGCCGCATTCGCGAGATAGCGTGTCCGACAATCTGCTTTTCCCACTTCCCGTTGGTCCGATCACGCTGATACGCAAGGGTGGGATCAAAGGCAACGGTTTCTTTAATGGCAGTCCCAATTTCTGGGGACCACGCAGAAATTCCTCGAGAGCCGATTCGCTCGAGAGATAATATATCCTGTCCATGAAAACGGCGCTAAATTCTTCCTTGCCCTTCCAAAAAACATTATGTTTCAACAACGCTACCGGGCAATAGTGACTCGTATCGCCAAACCGGCGGTTGTCCTCTTTAATATCCACATCCGTTCGTTCCTTGTGCCCCTCTCTTTCTTCTTCTTCTTCTTCTTCGTCTTCGATATTTTCCGTATCCTCGGTCATCGCCATATATTCCGCGAGATCTTTTTCCTTTTCTTTCTCTTCCTCAGTCATAACTCTAGCTTTATCCGTGTAGCGGTCCTCGATTTGGCTTATCACGTAGCTCGATACGTCGTCGAGTTTGCCGATATTACAAGCGATCAGATTCCTGCAGGTATTCACTACGTTTTCTTCTATCGTTTTCCAGTCTACTTCAAACTTTCGTATGTGGTTCAAGTATTCGATCAATCCATACATTTCTTCCTCGTTTTCCCGATTTTCGTATTCTCCTTCGTATTCATCACTGATACGGTGAACCTTGTGCCACATAGACAGTAAATAGTCATATGGATCTTCGTCGAATAAGAGGATCGCGTCCTCAAAGACGATCTCCGAATTTTCCACGAGTATTTTCCAACAGTCAGCATCAGGGTACATCCCGTCCACGATGTAACCCCCATCTCTCCACACTTCAATATCCAACTCTTCGTTCGGTATACTGTGTATGGCGTTTGCGATCATGTTAGTCTTTTCATCCAACTTCGAAGAAGACGGTGAATAAAACGAAACGTCCGAGTCAGCGTCATCTAAAGATTTTCCAATCTCGTTCACGTTTATTACAGTACCCTTTAGAACCCGTGCTAATTTCTTGCACAAATCAGATTTGCCAGAGTATTTAGGCCCGAATACTACGAGCTTACAAGTCGGTCGAGGAGTGAACGGAAAGAGGAACGTTCTCGGATTCTCCATGAACAAATCAACTGCTTCGGCCGACGAAAGGAAGAAGATTTTGTTCATAAATTTAATTGCATACTTCGCTGCTCCTTCCACGGTTCTTCCCCGGGCTAATTCAACCGGACAAAGAAAATTCCAGGCTGATAATCGCCATGGGAACAGAGGAGAGATAGTTTCTCTGTTCGCCAAATCTTGAAACGCTTCCTCTATCGGTTTTTCTTCGAATTCATCCGTGGGCACGGTAGCTATTGGTGACTCACCGAATTCAAACGCGACTTGATCCACGAACTTCCTCGGGAGGATCACGCGTGGCACAGGCAACGTGCGTAAACGCGTCATGACGATTTGGAACATCAATGACACGGGCGTCCGAGCGTCCACGCGGATCACGTTCTGAGGATTATGCAACATGATCCATTTTTCGATCACGGGCAATGCATGATGTTTGTACAACGCGCATTGCGCTTCTATGTTCGATTTTGCATCGGCTGGCCGCCTCAGCAAATACTTTCTCTGGTTCTCGTCCAATATTCTTTCCTCGTTCATGAGTTCTTGGTACAATTCAAACGAAATGTTTATGCCGCCGCCCAGTTTATTGTGAGCGACCAAAGTTTCCACGTCCTTGCTCATCCCCAACAAACTGGTGTCCACTGTACGGCCAGTTATCGGATCTATACGAAAGTGCTCACGCTTTTTCACGACATCTTCGTCCGGGCACATCGCGTAAATAATTATCGTCGGTTTTTTAGGCCACGTCGTGAAAATTTCTTCGATCTGACCGGAGATGAAACGCTCGTAATCCGGTCGCTTTGTGCAACCCGTGTCCTCTGACTTCGTAACGCAAACTTTCTGTTTACTTAACGCTAATTTCTGACGTTTTTCGAGTTCGTTTGCTGTGCCGCATACTCTATCAAGGGACGAATCGAAGAATTTCATGAGATTGTCAGATATCTTTTGCGACGTCGATTTCTCGTTGGACTTAGAATACGACGAGTAATCGAGTGTTCCATTTGAAATCAATGGTAAACCTTCCACGACGTATCCTTTGTGCAACACGTCTCTCTTGTTGACTCGATTTATCATCAGATCCATGACGATCTCCGGTCCCAGGCATTCACCTGCCTTCAAGATATCCGCCATTGCTTTACCTTTTTCGCTGCCACGTCCTATCTCCTCATTTATGAGCGCCGCTGGGGAGACCAGTACGCAGTTCCAAGAATTCGCGATCATGCTTGCAAGTTTCGCTGTATTTAGATCAGGTTTACCGAGAACAACGAAACACGTCGGTTCGCATGCCAGATACTTTTTTCTTGCTTCGATCTCGTAATAGGGATCGCGAATCATGTACGGTTCCTCGGGCGGATCAAAATGCGGTTCGATATTACCGTATTTTCTCGATTCGCACCTAGCAGGGAATCTAGTGAACGGGTTTGTGTCCTCGTGGAAAGCATAATAAGCGTTGGCTTTCGGATAAACGCATCCAAGAGGTTTAGGCCACGGTAGAATATATTCTTCGCGAGGATGGCCTTTGATGAATCGGAAGAAACTTTTCTTTGTAATAATCGACGAATCCGCGTAAAACTCATCGCGTACGTCTTCCCGTTTATCGCGCACATCGCGACGCGATCTCTCATCGCACATCGTTCGATATACTAACGAAATGTTTACTAGAAATATTCATCTTAAGGTTATCGCGATTTATTGGCATAAAGTTAGGAACAAACGACATGCGGTTCTTGCCAGATTATATTTAATATTTAAATTATGCATGCATAATAGTAATAATGCCAGCAGTACAATTTCGTCGAACGGAATGCTATCTGGTTGCCTCGACTTGACTCGAGTCCCGAAATTATTACACTTTTGTGACGACATGAATTTGCGAGTCGCGCTTCGTAATAAAAAAATTAATTCGAAGCCGAGCACTGATAACATAATACAAGATGACTCTTTCGCTCGGCTACTCTCGTTTTGCCTCGACGGAAGTGTACTGCTAGTAGAACAAAGTTTGGATACTTATTTTCATTCGGATCGATGGTGCAAAATGGGAAATTCTCGGCGGCCGCTTGGCTCTTCGTGAGAACGTTGAAGAAGGTAGATTTCCCTACGTTAGGTATGCCTACTATACCAACTTTCAGATTAGTACCCACACGGCCAATAAGTGGTTTCCGTTCAGGTTCCTCAACTTTCTTTGGCGCCATTCTAAGGCAAAAACATGGTCTGTTATTACCACACTCGTTCCGATCAAACTTTTCCTACATCGTAATTTTTAAAAATCTCAAATCGAACGACACATCCGCGTTTCCCGAAATTTCTTGTTACGAGACAGAGACCGGTTCATTTTTTTCTAAAGCTGATAGACACCGAATGATCTTTTTCTATGGACTAACCCGCGGCAGGCAAAAATGGACGCATATATACGGGGGGAGGATATCAGTTTGCATGGATAGAAATGAGAATGATCCGAGCAATGGATCGACCACGCCCTTGGCTCAACCGACCCCCTCGGAATCTTTAACAGTCCACCATGTTTCCTCCGCATATAACGCGCGCGTAGTTGCCCCCGGGCTCGCGCGATGCTTCGAACGGGTATCGAGGCGAGGTCGGCTTCTCGGCTAAAGTCGCTTTCGAAGCGCGCCCGTTCGCTCGGGGTGACTAATTATATTAATGCGGACGGCACATCAAGCGATTGCTGTATTTACCGCAAGATTGCCCCTCTTATATTCCGTCCTCATCCTTCTCGACGTACAACGGGCCGCGCCATATCAAAAGGATGAAACGGGTACGAGACGTCTACGGAAGGCAGAGGAAGGTGAACGAAAACGCGACGCGGATCCGAGAAGGAAAACGATAAAGGGAAAGGGCGAAGAAGCGAGACGAGAAGTGGATTCGCCGAGAGAAGATGCGAGGGAGGAGGTGCACGTCGGTCAAGGGGACCGACGATTACTGGGCACCAAAGCCGCGAATCACCGGCATCACGCCGGGAATCTGCAACCGCGCCTCAGGCCGCCAATCCGCCACCGACTTCGCGATTTCCTCTCCTCTTCCTCTTTCGCGTCGCCTTTAGCTCCTTCCCCTCTGCTGTTTCTCTTCCATCGCGACTGGTGTGTCCTCTCCTTTTCCAACGTTCTACTCTCAAATCATCTCGGTATCATTTCTCTCGAATGGTTTCAACTCGAAATCACGCCACTTCTCGTCGCTCTTCATCGCCCGGGAAATTTGCAAATTACGATAATGGAAGAGGAGAACGGTCCCGCCCGCGATGCTGCTCAACAGTTGCTTTGGCGCCGTGGAATCATCCACTCCCGGATCACTGCGACTGTGACCGTGCGCGTTTTATTAATTAATTCTACTTTGATAGATATGAGGGCATTGATCAACTTTTATCTGTTTCGATTTACAATTGATAATTGATAATACTTGACGTCTATTGGATACGTACTTTGGTTTTGAATTAACCGCCAATTGCTAGTACCGCGTGGGGCTTATTGGGGGAGCTTCAAGATTTAGGTACGTTACACAGTGCTGCCTCGTGGAAGTAGGCTTTAGAATCAGAGACACAGAATAATGCACACTGGAACTTAACCTCGCCTTAACAGGAAAATTACTTATTCATAGATTGCTAACTTTAACAATTTTCAATTCTACGCTTCTTAAGATTAATATAATATGCCAGAACCGTCTGATTGCATACTCAGAGCATATATACTGTTCTATCAATGCAACAAAGATTGCATCATATTTGTATGCACGTACGGTGCCCCTATCCTCTATGGAATTTATAAAAAAGTCTAAGAAAATCGCTCATTCGGCGCGCAAATAAATTTGTAATCGCTGGTTGATTAAATACCTTATATATTCTTAGTTCTCCGTGAAAATATCACTGCACAACGCGTGGTGAGGAAACGAACACGGCACACTACACTGAGGTCATAATATATTCGACCGGTCTCCAGTCTTGAAACAGGCTGCTGTATTATCAGCTGACAATAAGTAATACACGATCGAATAAATAATTAAATCAATTTACAGCAGCTACATACAAATTGCGATAGCTAGTACAATATTAATATAATTTAATACATTAGGCAATAATATCCCCGGTTCCCTTTTAGATCATTTCTGTGAAGACATTTTGGTATCGATCCATTCGCAATAACCGCGAGATGATTCTATAATAATTGATTCTGATGATTCGGACGAACTACTCGGCCGTCTATTCGCTGGCCAATTCACTGTAATTCTGGGAATAGCTTTACAAAATGAAGCAGCGCCCGTTAAAACCGTGGGAGCGGAAAAAAGAGCCATCAAAAACGGTTGATCGCTGCGCTTTCGTGGAAACCATAAACATGCGCTCGTCTACCGAATGTAAAACCCGTCCAAAATTAAACAGAAAAAATGCTTTTAATTAAAATCGCGGTTTCGCCCCAACGAAAACTGTAATTCCGCTCAAGTAGTATAGACGCGTGTTATGAGTTATGACCGCCAGCGTTGAAAGTAACTGCCAGTGGAAATGACAAAGCGAATACGATATTTGCAATCCGTTATTATGCGTAACGCTAGATTCGTAAGTGTACGCATAGAATGTAGCCTGGAATATGTACTCGATTGGAGTCTAATTCGACGTATGTGATGGGAACGCACATCGTGAATCACCGGCGGGCCGTAATTCGAAGGGTAATATTAAGATTGCTTCAGAATGGAAGAAAAAGAAGAAGACGAGGACGCGTTCACTAGTATGTGTGTGTCCTGATGTCTACCCCGGTGGCGCCGTAATATCAGAATCGAATCGTCGAAGCCAACTTTCTATTCCAGCGAGAAATTTGTTTATTCAATGCTTTTAAGAGAAAGCCGATTCAATAATTCTTATAATATTTGACAGTGCATGCAAATTAGTAGGAAGCTCAGATATTCCGATATTGCATTTTACGCAATACGAACAGAAAAGAGAGCGTAGCGTTAATTCACGACAGTCAAGCAACAATTTGCGCAAGCCTACGTGGTTTCAATTACACGAGGAACACCGCGCGGTGTTTCATTCGATGAACAAATTTCTAACATTGTATCGACCTTGTGATGTGTGATTATTTCAATTATTTTATTACGAACCGTATCAATCTCGGCCCACATAATGCATATAATCAGGAGGCTATTATTCGACGAGCGCATGGCTGGCGGAAAGGATCTCTCCTCTGCCCTCTACCTCCGGGCCCATGGTGCCCATAGTCCACGGCTCCGCTCGTTTTCGTGATATTGTAATTTGGAAACCGCAAACTCGTTGACGTCACTGGTGCACCGGAGCATCTTGCCAGCGCGCTGGCTACGGCCAAGACTCTTTCCGCCGCCTTTTTCTTATTGCCCCGCAATTTCGATCAAAAGCGTATTAAAGGCCAACGAATTATAGGAATTTTCGCCAGATTAGATATGCGCCGAATTGAAGGATTGCCTTACTAATTCTCAAGACGGAAACTACGCGCCGCGCCGCCGCACCGACGCGCTGCTCGTTGCGGCAAGATTTATTTGCAGGTATTACGGTGCATCGCCGGTCAGTTACAACGATCTAACAATCTCATTAGCTACGCCATAAATTTCTAATTGAACGATGTACGCGTTGGCCGTTAAGCTGGATCGATACCTTGCCAGATAGAAGTTGTCGTTTCCGTTTAACGTAACAATCGAACATGAGACTAACAAAAAGGAATGTGAAGACTGTTCAAATATTACACACCTTCCCGGGCTGTCATTTACTTAGAACCAATTGCACGTCTCGGCGTTTGGTTTCTTCTCGAATACACTGAGTGCCTTTATTACAAAAATAAATATAGGAGACGCATCGTAAATGAAGCGTCGAATAACAGGGTGCAAAATATAAGAACAGAGTTTGCATTGACGGATAATAAATATAGGAGCGATCGTTTAATGGGAAACTTTCGTGGACTCGCGTTTACGAGGGAATAATATCGAAACTATCGACTGTAGAACCAATTAGCACAGCGCATAAAATTTTTGTTTCCATCCATTCCATCCGTGGTATAATAATGCGCGTACTGCAATCACCGTTAGGAATGGCTTAATCAGCATCAATGCGTTAATTGATATCCGTACTTAGGGAAACTTTCCAATGTGGAAGAGCATCGTACAAAGCTATCAATTAAGTCTATAATTGATATTCACATACGCGAGGTGGAAACGAGGAAATTATTCGTTACTTGAAATGCATTGAATAGCAAACAGATATTAAATGAAGATTTTAATTGTTTCTATATCAACGGAAGAACGAAGTAAAATCGAAGAAAGAACGAGACGAGATGTTGGAACGTAACGACGTTGCAACGACTTTTCAACAAGTAGGATGTACCTTAAAGACGATCCATTGGTTGGATTACGGGGTCGTAAAATGCGATATTGCTTCCAAGTTACGTTCGTCAAGCCGTTTTGTGTTTTTACGAGCCAAATGGGAGATTATAGAATGACCGCTCCCGCTTTTCCCAGCTGTTGTTGCATCGTTCAGAAACGCTCTAATCGTTTCCCTTCTTCCTTTGCATATCCCATATTCGGGACGAATATTGCAGCCGCACGCAGGAGGAAGATTGTGTGAATAAAAATAACGTAGAACAGAAACAATTTGTAACGGACTTATCTCCGATCATAAAGACGATCCTTCGTTAAGGAGTAAGTGTCGGATATGCAGGAAGTGAAATAGAAAGAGGGAAGAAGTTAATACGAGTATCATCTAATTTTCAATTCTTCGGGAGCTTAGAATTGCATAGCTACGCCGAAGATGAACCAGATTGTAACACTATACGCATCTGTAATAACTAATTGCGTATAGGGTCGCGAATAAGCCTTGATAATTCCTCGAGCATGTAGCCAGGCAATTAAGGTTTAACGTTTCGAAGTTCTGGTCGTAAACAACGCGGGCAAAGTAGCGGAACCTCCGAGGCTCGGTTCCGCCCGTCAATTGTTACCAATTGTTACCAATCAGAGTAATACGTGTCATTATGACGAGTAGG